GTGTGTGCCCGTGTGGAGGGTTCCATGCTGTTGCCGACTGTTGGTCGATGAATCCAACTATCCGACCAGAAGGGTGGAAAGTTGCGGATCACCGACAAGCGAAGATCAACAAAGCTTTCGGGAGAGAGCCCGAATGGAAGATATGGGTTGAGAACGAGATCAAGAATAAGGGTGGATTTGGAGACCAGAGATCGGCAAATCTGGCTACCACCGAGGCCTCAGACAACATTACAACCTACACAGGGTTCTCCACTATGATGCTAGATGATCAGTATCGGGATCAATGGGTAATGGACTCGGGTGCGAGCGTTCATGTGTGCAATGACCGTACAAAGTTCATTGATTACAAGGAAAACAAGACCTATCTCCGTACAGGAAATGGTCAAACACCCGCCTTAGGTGTTGGCACTGCAATCATGACAGGGATAGATCCAGTTACCGGAGTGGCGCGTAACATATCCCTCTCGAACTGCCTATACTCGCCATCCTTCCACTGCAACCTAGTATCGCTAGCTAGAGTTGAGGAGAAGGGGGGATGGTGGAACACGAAGAAAGGCTGGGTTATCGATAACAAAGGAGTTCCGGTGATGGTGGTATATCGGGATCCGGATCAGGATATCTATCTTTGCTTACAGCCAAGGAATGAGAAGTCAAACGATGGTGTAGCGCTGGCTACCCGACGACAGTCTGAGAAGCCGCTGATATCGTCGGCAACAGCGAGTACGTGGCATCGACGACTAGGGCATGTCTATCAGGGCGCGATTGGTCAGTTGCCGTATCTAGTGAATGGAGTCGAGATCAAGAATGGATCGGAAGGGGAGACAGAGTTATGCGAGGTTTGTAATCTTGTCAATGCCCCTCGCCAGATATCTCGACGTCCAATTGGCAAGCACTATGGACGATATGGACGGGTCTACTTTGATCTAATTCCGATGACGATGGGTTATAACCAGCACTGCTGGATTACCCATTTCTATGTGGAAGGGATTCACTTCCATTGGACTATGACACACGTTAACAAGAACGGCTGTCAGGAAGCGATCCAGAGCTTTGTGGCGTTTGCTATCAAGTGGCTACAACTGCCTATCAAAGTATGGCACTCCGACAACGAGAAGTCGGTTGACATGCGAATCCACAAGATGATTGACTCAATGGGGTGTATTCACACGTTCACAGTCCCATACTCGCCAGAGATGAATGGACCCGGCGAACGATCAGGGGGTGTGCTCATTAAGCGTGCTCGGGCACTTCTTAAGGAAGGGAAATTGCCTGAGAAGTTGTGGCCCGAGGCCATTAATGCTGCCGTATATCTACTGAATCGTACGCCGACAAGGGTGGATGGGAAGTGGATCATTCCATGGGAGGAAGCACGCAAGTTCATCGACAATAGCGAGAAGCCAAAGACGTCGTTATCCAACGTGCGGCTATACGGCTCGCTAGCTTATTGTCGAATTCCGACGATTCCACGCCTTAACAAGATGCAATCAAGGGCAGAGGTTGGATATCTAGTCGGGTTTGTGGCGTCAAATATCTGGAAGATTTGGATGCCACATCGTGGTCAGGTTCGGATGGTAAGGGATGCTGTCTTTGACGAATCGAGGCGCTTTTCGGCCGAAATAGTCATTGATGAGGTGATCCAAATGCCAGTTCCGCAGGCCACACCACCAAAAGTGATTGAACAGGACATGGAGATAGAATCAATTCTTCAGGGTCTATCAGAACAACTAGAAGTCACAGGGACAAATGATGCTCTAGAACTCTCTCTAGCAGCAGGGGGTGCGGGTGAATATCTTGCCACGGATGAGCCAACCACACCAACTGCTGCAGAGGAGGGAGACCAGGGGGATACAGAGAAAACAGACTCAAAGGGACAGGAGTCATATGCCCACACACCACCACGATCGCCGAATGGTTTGGATTCTGCCACAGATCAGGGGGTGGGGTATGGTAACCAAAATCATGAGATTGAGGGTGATCTGATACCAGAATCGCCTATATCAATACAATCGACGACGTCGGAAGCAGATGATGATACTACGGAGTCGCCGGTTGTGAATGAAGAGGTGATATCGGGTCATATCGATGGACTAGACGTCGAAAACATCGTGATTGGACCGAGGATACGCAAGCAACGGAGAGACGAGGAGTTTGCCTATAAAACCGCGTTAGCAGATGACGATACTACGCCGGTGTCCCTCCAAGCTTTTGCAACAGGTCTATTTGCCCCGAAACCCACGTGTCGCCAGCATAGGGATGACCTACCACCGCCGCCAGAGAGGTTTAAAGACGTGTGGAAGCACCCGCTAAGTGATGGGTTCAGCAAGGCAATGAGGGTGGAATTAGATGGTCTACAAGCAAAGAGTACGTACCAGGAAGTGGAAACGCCGAAGGATCGTGGGATCCAGGTGTTGCCTCTCATGTGGGTATATGCCTATAAGTTTGATCAAGACGGGTTTCTTCTCAAGTGCAAGGCACGCATCTGTGTACGCGGAGATCTGCAGACCATATCATCAGAAGAAAAAAGGGCTGCAACGCTCGCAGCTCGCACAGCAAGAACGCTATTTGCGTTGGTTGCTGCATATGACCTAGATCTACGTCAGCGGGACGCAGTAAATGCCTTTTTGAACAGCAAACTGCGCTCTCGGGTCTACACGCTGATGCCAGAGGGTTATAAGACAAACGGACGATGCTGGCTGCTACATCGAGCGCTCTATGGACTGCGTATCGCACCGCGTCTATGGCAGCAGGACGCAGCAGCAGTGCTAAGGAAATTGGGACTCGAGCAGGTTGCTGAGGACCCATGTGTGTTCGTCGGAGAAGGGATCATCGTGTTCTTCTATGTCGATGATATCCTAATTGCTAGTCACCGAATGGCAAAGGAGAGAGCACGTCAGCTAGAGCGAGAACTCGAGAAGCACTGGCATTTGACTGACCAAGGGGATGCTGAATGGTTCCTCGGTATTCGAATCCTACGGAATCGTATAGAGAGGAAGCTGTGGCTTGTGCAGGACAGCTACCTTGCAGGGGTTGCTGAGCGCTATAAGCTCACTGGGAGAGCGCCAGTATATACACCAGCAGGTGTTGAACCACTGCAGGCATACGAGGGACAAGCCACCCCCCAAGAGATTCATGCCTACCAACAGAAGGTGGGATCGGTACAGTATAGCACCACAATCACGCGAGCAGACGCCGCAAAGGTGGCTTCAGTGCTTTCCCAGTTCATGACGAACCCGGGACCTAAGCACCAAGCTGCAGTTGATCGCTTGATTGTCTACCTATATACCACACGGTTTATGGCAATCGAGTTCGGTCCAGTTGCGGAAGACAGCGAGGTGGTGAAGATATCGAGTGACGCATCATATGCAGACCACAGCGATAGGAAGAGCTCCGCCGGCTACATCTGCCAGATATTCGGAGGTCCAGTCGATTGGAAGGCCACCAAGCAGCGTACAGTAACAACGTCGACGACAGAGGCTGAATTACTAGGCCTATCTGACGCCGGAAAGGCTCTTCAGTGGTGGGATCGACTGTTCACAAGGATTGGGTTCCAATACCCACAACCATTGACAATCGAGTGCGACAACAGTCGAACAATTGCTTTGATCAATGCCGAGGATACACCATTTGATACGAAGCTTCGACATGTCGACATCCACGGTCATTGGCTACGACAGGAGGTCAAGGATGGGCGGATTCGCATCAAATGGGTTCCCACCGCACAAATGATAGCGGATGGACTCACCAAGGTGCTACCGAGACAAAAGCATACAGCCTTCGTTAAGATGCTAGGATTGAGGGACGTGAGGCATTTGATTGAATTGGAGGATGGAAATTGAGGAATTGGAGGAATTGAGGGAATTGGTCCAGCGTTGCCAGAGAGTGCCAGCGCTGAGGGGGTGTGTCGGAGTTGTGGATCTATGTAATTAGATAACATGACTTAGTCATCCTGTATGTTAGTCAGCACACGGTATTTTGCGTGTGCTTGGAAGATAGAAAATGATCAGACAGTTACACCTGAGCGACGAGGGCCATTGGTCGAGGAGAATACGTCTGGTTACGTGATCAGAGATATTGATGCGTTCACGTGATAGGCTGATGGGGATATCTCCCATGGCATTCTTCGCCAACCGGCGCGAATGACCCAGGACTCTTTTCTTCCTCGTGGTCGATGTAGATCGCATCTGGGGCGGATGGCCCAGTAGGCTGAGTCTCTCCGGAGAAATGGCTCTATTCTGGCGCAGTCGCCTGGGTGAGATTTGCGCCATCTATACTAGAGAAGATGAATGATTCTGGCAAACCTTACACCGGCCATCAGCGGATTCTCAGAGTATTTATTTTGTCGGAAAGCGCTACTATGAGCCGGCCCTTTCGCTCAATTACAAATTGGCCCTTTAGGGACAATGGAAGTCGCCCTCAGGTTTGACAAGAGCTATTCGAACAACCGCCCTTTGTCCGACTCAAAATCTGAAACACCAGAAAGTCTGGATCTATATCTCCGTGGAACTATCATAGTTGCCGCTAGCCTCTTTTCGAGATCTAAGGTCCGGTAATTGTCATCCGATTCCAATAGGCGACGGAAAAAGGGTCAGGCTTTTCTAGGTTTTGCACTATAGTAATATATATTACGTTTCCTTAACGAGATATTTTAATTGCGTACATAAAGCAGTCAAATCTAGCTGCGGGAAAAACCACCCCATGGCTACTGTAACCATAGGTGAGAGCCTAGGCATCTAACAATGATTTACCAAACACGTATGAAGCAATAGAAATGTGGGAGATTCCGAGTCCTAACTCGCCTTAGCCTTGGGCTGTGGCGCCCGCCAATGTGGTAATTCTGGCATTTAAACACAGGTAGTTATAAGCCCCGTGCTAGATGGTGCGAAGAAATTCCAGTACAAGGGTATCGACAATAAACGTTAATAGCCAGGTATATAGATAGATACGCATATAGCCCACGCTTTGTTATAGACCAAGGATTATCAGTCAGGAAGGGATCCCAAATGACACTCACAAGCAACGAGAAACGTGCTCTGTCTAGGCAGCAATGCCGGGAAGCTCTGGCAGCTCATATTCGTATGACGCCTAAGCCAAGAAAGCACCAGACGTGGTTGGCAACTAACGGCATAATTAGATGAGCGATTAGGTCTAACTGTCGCACCGAGTCGGGTCCGATTACAGCCCTCTATAGCAGACGGCTACGCATGGTCGGTCTCGGATTCTCAAAAACATCTATTAAGAACAAATTTAAGCAATAGGACGGTTAGCTTCTATCAGGACATACGTGATGCACTTAGGTGTTCGATAGAAGCCGTTAGTCCGCAGACATTGCGAGATTTTGACGCAGGCTCTGAGATAAGCGCCGAGGTGAGCCACCCATGTTTACGGAATGTCAAAATGCTGAAAGATTAAGCGCCCGTCCCCACCGAAGCTTTCAAAGCCACCCGAGACAGATTCTAGGGGTGGCTCTTTCACAGTCACTATTCAACGACTGGAAATCGCAAATAAGGAACTTGCAGCCGAACTTATACGTGCTAAAGCCTACTCGGAGGATTTGCTCAAGGAAAAGCTGGAATAGGAGGTAAAGTATCGAGAGATTAACGGGGAACTCGACGCCAGCCGACGTTTGGCGAAACATTTAGAGAGCGAGCTGGTTCGCGTGGGAATAGGTGTTACGGAAGCTATGAAGATATTGCAAGACTACCAGCTTCTAGAAGGAAGCCAATCATACGTATAAGAAGAGATATAGTTTTTCACTAGTTGTGCTATAGCCTCGTCTTTACTATACCAGGCGGTTTTCTATTTTTCTGTTCTTGAACTCAAGGCTGCAAATGTTTTAGTAAGCAAGCTATGTTATCCTACTATGCCTAATAAAGCCTTATGTTTACCACTATAACCAAGCCCTTTTTCTGCATATGCTTTTAGCATGTTGTCGCATTCTTGTAGCATAATATAAGTTTGAAGTTTCTATATCGTATGTAGTAGTCATGTCCTAAGAATAGATATGTGCATTGAGGTCGTAACTGGTCTCTACGTTGAAATTGCGGTGGCATATATTCTTTGTCTAGTTCGACGAGAACATAAATGCTTGGAGGCCAGAGATAGCGCCAGTCAGCAGAACTATTAAGAGACAAAAGCCGTGGTCATCCTCCTGTACTAGCCCCCTTATCTCATAATGTGTAATATATGAAAGACAGGAGGCGAGCTTCGCTTCAACTGCGCGCCGGAAAGTTGATATCGTAGTGCGAGGTCTTGTTTACGATATTCACCATAAGTTTTAGTTCTGCCTCACCTTTCAAGGAAGCAAAAAAGCCGTCCTGGTTGCTCAGTTTTGATCTTCACAATAGGTCAGGCCGACGACTTACCAGCATCAATTCGTCCAGTTCGACCGTATCTAGCCTGTGTGGGAGATTCCGAGCCTCTACGCTCCACGGAAAATCAGGGTCGAATTTCTCGTTCTTTTTCATTAATCTTTTGGCAATCTCCGACAATGCGGTTAACTTCAGAGTAGCCGTATTCATGTCCTCAGGATCGATGCGGCAACTACGTTCCACGCCAGCTAATAAGGCGCCGCGCTATTAGAGTCTACGATGACTTCGCTGTATGTTCGGGAGCTGGCTTACCGATCCTAACCCTACTAGACCCTATAAATAAGACCTCGTCGTTAGTGAGTGTGGCAAGTGCTCTATCGCAATCGCGGAGATATCTAATTCCGATAAGGATCTACAGAGGGTCAGAATTGGTCTCGAAGTGGGCTTGTCTCTCTAAGAGCGACAGAAACGGTTAGGTAGATATACTGGCCACACAATCGAGGCAATCTCGGTCTCACTTAGGATGTACTTAGATCCTAGGACCTAGGACAAGGAGCATTCGGCCGGCTCCTATACCAGGAACGAGTGATCCTCATGTTAGTAATAACATAGGAGACGTGGGAAACTGCGGTAAGAGAGGTCGTTGATAGTCTTTACCAAAGACTGTATTGAGGCTGGCTCCGCCCTAAGCTATTGAATATAGACTAGCTCTATTTTGTCCTCTCTATTCTAGGCCAGAAAGATTCCCTTTCGCGGGAAGATTTCAATGCCTTTGATATACACCGACCAAGGATCTCCGCTCAATGGCTAGAGACTAGAAGTTAGTGTTTCTGAAATTCGCTTTCGCTTCCGAAATATGACCAACGGCTTGGTCGGGGGTTTAGCTTTAGGGAGGGTGGTTGGGTTAGGCTTAGTGAGGGTGGTTAGAGCAGCGGCTTCTTTCGTCCGCTCTATAGGTGCGGTGGACACACTACCATTGCCACCGGAATTGGCTATCGTGGGAAAAAACATCGTTTCCGGCCGAGTGACCTTGGTGCGATTGGCATCTATTGTGGCAAACTTTCGTTAAAATGTTTAGAGAGAATACGTTTAGGAGATGATTAGGTGGTTTAATTCATTTAAGGAACGGAGGGTAATATTCCTAGCCTGAGTGCACGGTTCTGCTATATGTGTCCTACGCTTATTAATAGCCGAGGCATTTAAATCAAAGGCCACGAAAGGTTATCAATATGTACGTTGCAACGACTGTTTATTTAGCAGTTCACAAAAGGATCATTCCCCGCTCTATACTATTGTTTCGGTTTCTAGCGACCGAGGACTGATGACTGGGACGCAGATAGGGCAAGCTATCAATCAACCACAACCTAGCTGATGTTGATGGCCACAAAAGATATCTTTTGCCAGTCTTTATAAAATCCTTTTCACCTTTTTTTTTTTTTTTTTTTTTTTTTTTTTTGCGGTTGAAGCACGTTAGAACTGAACATTTGCCGTTTAAACTACTTGGCTGTCACAGTTACAAGACGTCGTAAAGCGAGAACAAGATAGTGTTTATCTACACTCTTTGTATGCCTCTTGTCACTTTAGGCATAGTTTAATGTAATTATGGAAACGAAACAGTGTCTTTTGATCAACTTGAGTTCTGTCGAGCTTGGTTGCCAAGTGTAATGTTGCTGCATAAAGATACAAAAACATGATGATCACACTGAAAGAATAGTGCCGTGCGATCAAGACTAACTCACACGACGATATATATCTATCAAATTCTATATACTTAAGAAGAGTTCTAGACCATGCATCTTCCACAGCCATCAAACCAAATACTTAAATAAACATGTACAAAGAAACACAGTACAGCAGGATTCAATTTTCAACTTCAGTGAGGTAGTCAACCGATGGTGGCTAATAGAGAAGTTAATTTATAACGTTTGTTTATTTAACGCAGGGTGCAATCAACGAGTACCTAAAGTAGTTAACCTATTTAAACAATTGACGTGGTCAAAATGTGGTTGCTAATTGCAGTGGAGCCATCCTTAGGTCACCTCAGGATAGATGTGCAAAAGTGGGCATTTTGGCGCACGGTAATGTTTAGGAGGCTAACCGGTCAAAAGGGGATGTAAATTTGTTTAGTGTAGAGTTAACCGATTTTTCTTTTCAGACTCATGAGTGTAAACGCCTGATTTAGGCGGTGAAACTAAGCTGGAACTCTTTTCCACACTTTTGCGGGCGTGTAAAATAAAGCTGGGCAGTTAGGTGAGTCCTGATGGTCCGTAGAAATTGATTCACCCACGTTTATATCCTCATGCGCTCCTCTGATACCCTCACATAGCGTACGTGTTCTCACGTGCCGCCGTTTATTTTTATTTTTGTTATGATCTCACATTGTGCAAACACAGGATGACACTCTGGCAAATTCTTCCTCCTCTTCTTTCTTTCTCCTGTATTTCGTCTGGTGCTAGAGAGAAGAGTCGCTTTGGCTTGGCCGAAAATCTCCTGCTCATTGGTCTCACACAACGTGCAGAGCCCCCTTGGACGACAATTCTGGTGATTGTGACTGTCTTTGTCGCATCGGCTTTCTTCCAGACTCAATCGGAGTACAGGATGGATCGAAATCAGTTTCACCTCTTACTCACAGACCTTCTTTCTCGAACGAACCATCTCTCGAATCACGCTATGCCTATTACAGCTACTCTGCCCCTGACCCCTGCTTTTGGCAGTATTCTAGTACACTTGTAAATGACTGGTGACACGCGCTTTCGCACGCTGTGGCCCTGAAAACGAGCGAAACGTGACAGTTGCACACGTGAGATCGCAATGAACAGGCAAATCAGGAGTGCAGCAACAGTAGCGAATGGGAGCAATTCTTGGAAAGCAAACTGGCCAATCGGCGCCGAGATCAGCGAGAAGTTTGGCAGTGGGAAGCCAGCGAAGGTTTGCGGGCTGCTCGCACAGGGTAGTAAACCCCTCCACCCCTCCACTTCGTTCCTCGTTTCAGGGCAGAGGCTTTTCGGGAGAGTAGGGTGTGTGTTTCTCGCTGTGTTTTTGGCAGCGTCAACGTCGGCGTTGCGCAGCCGTGGGGTTGGTAACCCCTTCCACTCCGTTCCTTCGTTTCAGGGCAAATCTACTACTACTACTACTACTGGGCCACCCTCCGTGGGATAGGGTAAGCAGACATAACATGCAGACAGTAGACACTGTAGCTCCTTATTATATGTTTGCACAAAAGAATCTGCAATAGGCTAACATTCACTAGGCCATTGGTTACATCACAGATCCTCATGGCATTGGTCAACGTACTTCACGAAAAGCTTTGGGAAATCTTGCTCCCACAATTGGGAGCCCATCATGTAATCCTCTAAGCAACTGCAAATTCCATCCGACATGTAGGGGACCAGTCTTAACAACCCTCTCGCCGAATTCTGCACCGAATTTTCCTTCGCGCAGTTCAGGTAGGGTTGTAGGCTTTCAGGATGGTCACAAAAATGGCCGCCAGGTCGAATTTTATCCTCGCAGGTGGCTTTGGTATTTTGGTGAAACTGGTCTACCACCTCAAAGAAAACATCTGTGCCGTCCTTCACATCGCACTTCTTTGCTGCTTCCTCGATTAAGGGCAGAAGAATGTCTTTTGCGTGTTTGTCCCAGCTGTCAAATCTTGGCTCGCACCCTGCATCGCAAGCCTGTCGTTGGATTTGTTCCGTCAAATGAGCTTGGATTATGCCTGCCTTCGACATAACACTGATGCATGCGGTACCCAGGATGGCGGAAACTTGTGGGAGTAGTCCGAGGCTGATACTCGTTGAAATGGTTATCAGGTTTAGTCGCATGGCGATGGGAGTTGAGTGGGATTGCAAATACTGGGATGGGTATAGAGGAAGGTAGCCCAAAAGAAGTTATAACTGAGACTGCCTGCTCGAGGAATTTCGATCCAGTGAGGAAAGCCACCTTTTATAAGCGCGCTTATTTCAGCTATTGTAAAGAATGTTTGAGCAAGAAGCTAGCATTGCTATTTAAATTCTTAACACTTGATTTGGTTGCAATCTTCAAAGGGATGGAATTCGATGGAGAAAAATGATATTCAATATTGTACTACATATTTTCCGAGCCACGTACCAAAAAAAAATAACATCAGTTGTTTTTACACGTTAATATTCTGTTTTAAGGCTTTTTCTTGCGTAAAGAAGCTTGCACGAAGTCCAGCCTCCCTGGTGTCCAACCCCTGCTGTATATGTTTCAGGAATGTGATAGCATTCCCATTCCATAATACAACTACAAGGTTACAAGCGGTCACCCCTAATAGATCTCTCTCCTAGAGAAGTAAACTTGTCAATTGCAAGCGGGTTATAAGTCCAGAGAGGGGTTGGAACAAGATTCTGGTTGTGATGGAATTGCTATAAGGCCACGTCCGTATGCTTTAATTGTGAGAGAAGAAAGAATCTTAATTCGGCATGCTGCTTTGATCCATCGTAAATTATTTATTCTCTCTTTCCAATTTATATTGACAGAATAGCTATTGAGGCTAGGTCATCTTGCACGACAAACTCTTTGCAGACGTGCCAAAGGTATTGTTGAGGACCCATATGATAGTTGTTTTGGGGGCCAGGCATGGGTTTTGTTGAGTGGATACTACCTTGCATTATATCCTCTCTTTGTTCTTCCATCGCTCTCTCTCGTAGCTTCATCTGAACCCATACCATCACATTTCTCTAGTTTTTCTTTTCCCCTTCATCGTCACGTATCCAGGGTTAGAATAGGTACCTTGGGAGAAACTCAATGAGAATATTCCTCCAAGACCTTCACCTGGATTCGATTTGCCCCCGGTTCAGTTTGGCCAATAGAGTTGTCCCGGACCATCTGTACATTCCACTCCGTCGTCTCATGTAGTGTCAGATCAAATCGACGCACAAGAGCGCTTATGAGATGGTGCATCCACGACCAATTCATACTATGTCTCATCAGCCAACAATCGAATTTCATAGCCCTCGAAGGGCCTTATTTTTGTCCTATACACACTAGAGTTCCCTTTGATGCTGGAAGCAGGAACTTCTCCAAGTTCTGTAATTCCTCCGGCTCGAGTAGCCGCCGCTCGGGGAGGAACATCTCAGGCTCAGGGAATATAGATGGGTCCCTCAAAATGAAATATGTGGACATAGAGACAAATGTCTGTAAGTATTAGTAAATACTTATGCGTGGAAGATCGTTGTCACTATACATACTCCGGCCGGAATATCCCACTCTTGGTACCGTAGGACTTCATCTAGCGCCGAACGAGGAAGTCGCGTTGTCACGACAGAGGCGAGACGAAGGCCTTCTCGAATTGTTGCGGTCGAAAAAGAATTTAGTTGGCATCTATAAAAGAAATAGACCGCCGTCACATACCAAATATGGAACATTCTCCAACTGATCAATACAGGGAACGGCCTTCACATCTGGGAGGGCAGCGAAGAGTTCATCTTTGAGTCTCTGGTATGTTGCAGGGTTCCGTAGTATGTGGAACATGGTGATAGCGAGAGTTCGCGATGGGGCATCTGTACCCGCGAGCATGAGAAATATAGCACCATCCTCCAACCGAGACTGGCTCTTTTTAAGCAGAGGCACTTCAGGATTGGCCAGGATCGCAGGATAGATCGCCGATGGGGTCTCCAAAAAAGGAAGTTTTTCGATTGAGTCATCTGTTTTTTGCATCTCAACTTCGCATTGGTCATATCGATCTATCAATTGTTTGATTCGATGTTTAACATCCTATGGGGTCGGTTAATCTTCCTTCGTGCGGACTCAACATATCTATGTTGGAAGGCCTCTTGCTTACCCTTTCCATCGAATAGACCGGAGCATATTGCGGGATCACAAATGAAGTCAGGTTTGGAATCATGTGTGCTATGTCACCCAGAAAGTTGAAATGTCGGATCAATCGACAGAACTCAAACATCGAGTTCACTTGTGTCTTCCACGTACATGACAGTTGCGGTTCCTGTAAGTAACGCAAGCCAAGATCGATACATGTACCAAATGCATATTGGGACAGAGTATCACTAGAGTAACAGTGAAATGCGGCATGCAATTCCAACGCCTGGCCTTTCTTGACAGCCTCCGAGAAATGCTTGCAGAGTAGTTGCGTATTTGCTTCTATCACCGGTTCAAGCTCACGGATAGCTCCTTTTTACTGTACAAAGGGCTTCCACATTAGATTATTTCTCGAGACACGGGATGCTCTTACGTTTAAAGGGGCAAATGAAAGCGGCATGTTCAAGAGGCTGGGGGCTCAACTGTTGTAGTGCATTTTGCGGAATACTAGCATTGACGCAATTGACAACGCATTTGGACACCTTGCATAGGTCCAGTATTCTAGCATGTGCAACGTAAGTCATTAACATCCTACTTCGAGCGACCTTGCTGACCAGCTTTTCCACTACAGTAAGTGATTTACAGGGTCAAGCCTGGCATTTGTTCATCAGCACATCACTCCCGAAGGGATCGCTAAGAGATAGCAGTCTGCTTAATCAATATAAGTTATTATCATAAAACATTAAAGGTCTGATTTTATGGACCATAAAAACGATTTCTATTTATTCTCAGTCTTTTCAGAGCCAGAATCAAGATTGAAATCAGGTCCGCTCGGAGAGGTTTCAGTAAAGCTCCTTTAGACCTTCCAGCGCCACCAACCATGTCCTTCCATGGGAAATATCGCACACCACAGACTGATAGGAAGGTCATTGAGCCACAGGCCCCCCGATGAGAAGTCGTCCAGTATCAAAGGGCTGCATAGCCAAAACCAGAACACTACGTAAGTCCAATTTGCCCTCCGTATGATCCAGGAACGACGTAGCCGAGGAGACATTGCCAACAGAAGTGCTTTCTGAATTATTATTCCTAACGGCTGCACAATGAAAAATGCCAATACGCCTTTGAACGGTCGCGTCGGACCAGGCTGGGTGTAGCTTCCACAGACGTGTGTTAAACCAACGACGAAGAACATGATCGACATACTGATCGTTCGGCGCAGGTAAATTTTCTGGCGAGCCCAAGCTGGGAACCACGGAAGAGCTGCCTCCGCACAGACAAGCCCATTAAATCGGTAGAGCTGGTGCCAATAGCTTCCCCAAAAGCCGGCCAGCCCATAATCTAGCCCAATGCGTGCAGATCCAAAAAGGGGCGTGTACAGCCAAGGCTGGTCCATTGGCACTGGAGGTAAAACGACAGAAAACGATGGCGCTATTTTGTCCGTCATTCTGGCCAGTAGCTGGCAGAGGGTATACGTCAGGGTCAGTACCTGTTTCAGGTAGCCGAAACACAGAAGCATGCGAACCAACCAAAGGAGCGAAGGCCAATGGACCAGCAGATGTAGTGGGGAGTAAGATATTGGAGGCAACTCCAGAAGGCCCCAGAAGTAAGGGTCTCCTTTCATGAGAAAAACGAGAAGATCTAGTAGGAAATACGGTCTGATGGTCGCCAATAGGAGTGACATTATGCTGAGATGTCCGGGCTTGGGCGGGTCATGTCCTCGATGACGGGTGGGAGGGTGATGCAACAGAGAGCTTTGCAGCTGCACCGGTAACGCAGGGAGAGAATCAATGCGCCAGTTCCAAGAAGGGCCTTGTAATGAAAATAGCAACCCGAAGACCCAATTGAGACGATGGAGTAACCTTTTCGGATATGGTTGCCAGGAGATGATTTTTCCAGTGCTCAGCTGGAGGATGTTGTGTTGTTCAGTCGTGTGCTGGGTGCATTCGAGCCGAAGGAAGTCTCTCTCTGGGTCTTTTATCACCAGTCGAACACCAAGTTGTAGAATCCCGGTGGATACAAAGAGACCAACAAGGAATCCGTTACCAAAGAGCCGACCATGTAAACTTTGGGAAATAATGACGCCAAGATATACATCGACCACAAGTACAGCCAAGCGCAACGCTCGAGCACGAGGAACGAGCAGGGCTAGCACGGGCAGACACACGAAGGCAAGCACTGTGATTAACTGCAAGGATATGTCGCTCTGGCTCGGAGACAATTGTGTAAGCTGCTTTCTGTACCCGAGGAGCTCTTCGTAAGTTGGTGGGACCGTCATTATGTGTACCGTCATGTCAAAAGATTTCCGAGTTTCTGAATATCAGAGAAAATCCTACCATGGGATTTATGCAATTCAAGGAATGATTTACGTGGGTCACCGGTACAGCTGCAATAAGGGATAATAGATACCCCTTCGTGTCCATGCAGGTGGACATCTCTTCGGTGGCACGACCCTTGCATCATGCTTTCCTTCAAAACATGATGCGGAATGCGCTCATTGACTCTCTCCTAGTTCCAATTAATAATTTGAAACCCTTTTGCTTTTACCTCACACCGCAGCGTTTGCTAGATACTCTTACAGTACAAACGCGCGATTAAAGTCGGCAAGGCTGGTTAGTGCACTCGCGTGCGTCTCTCTTCCGCGCTATATGGAAAACCTCCAGAGCCCCCTGGAACACGACAGCCAGTGGTTCCCACGCGTGCGGCTTTATATTTACTCAGCAGTGTTCATTTACGTGTTCGGGCAGATTTGGGTCTATCCAACATTTGTCAGTCCCTTGCGCCATCTCCCGACTATCAAAGTAGGAATTACGACCGCTGGTTAAATATCTGTGAATGGGCGTGTACTGACAGATACCAGTACTCTCTCTGCGCCTTGAAAGTCGGATATGACCGCAGGCGGCCTCTACAGTGGATGCGAACGCTACCAAACAGCGGCCTGATTCACATCTACGACAGCCTTCTTGGTGTTGGGTTTGTTTTCCCCACTACCTACGACGCAACAAAAGATGTGCTCAACAACTCGACGGGCTTCGAAAAGCCACCTTTGCTGCGCCGAATCCTTAGCCGCATACTGGGCGATGGACTTGTTGCCACAGAAGGCCTGCAGCACCAACAATACCGGCGTCTCCAGAATCCCGCCTTCGCAGCAAAGAATGTCCGCCAGTTGCACGACATTGTCTGGGCCCAAGCGACTCTCCTTCTCCAGCAGTTGCAGCAGCAGCTGGATACGAACCCCCAACCGGTCAATTTGTCCGACTGGGCCCAGTATGTCTGTCACTTGCTCTCTGTATTCGTTCTTGTACTCACTAAGAATCTGTCCACAGTCGATTTTCCCTCGATACCATCGCCCTCCTTGCTACTGGACACAATATGGGTGTCCTCGTCAAGCCAAACAAACTCTCTGCCATGCTCTATTCAGCCACTGAGCCGTCGATTTCCAAGCTGTGCATGTTTTTTACCTGGGTCTTTACACCCCGGCTAGAGTGGCTAGTACTCCTCCCTTGGGGGGTTCCCAGCTACTTATGGACAGAGATACGCTTCACTCATACTTCTGGGGGTTATCAGGCAGGCTAAGTTGCCCACTTTGAAGGTGACGACGAAACACGAAAACCAGTATCTCCTTTCTGCGGTGTTAGGTAGCCCGGAGCTATCGGATGAAGAGAAACTCGACCAGTTGTTGACAACGGTATTTGCAGGTGTAGGTCATTACTCAGCACAATTATTTAACTGCAACTTATAAAGACCCGCAGAACGAAACAAGCAACAACGCCATCGTTCGTTGCTGTGATCTACTTTGTCGGAATCCCGCCCTTCAAGAGCGGCTGCGCGATGAAATCCGTGCATTTATCCCTTCTCCTAGCCAGAAGACTGCGTCAGCCGACCAGGTCGAATCGTTATCACTGCTACATGGCGTGGTTGAGGAGGTCTTGCGATTATATCCCACAATACCCACCACGCTCCGAGTCGCTCTCCACGACACTTGCATACAGGGAATGCATATCCCGAAAGGCACAAACATAGTGGTTGATTTTCACGGGTTGAATAGAGATAGAGCCGTCTGGGGCCAGGACGCTGATGCCTTCAAGCCTGAACGTTGGCTGGATGGCGATCGCCGCCTCGTCACCCACCACGGCCAAACGCACTTGAGCTTTTCATCGGGTGCTCACAACTGCATTGGTAGGGAGGTCGCCCGGGCGACAATCCGCTGTGTGATCGTGGCCCTTGTTGGTCGCTTTGTCATGGAACTTGTGCATCCCGAACGCGAGATTCAGGAGGCTGGCGCTTCCGCTATGCGTTCTATACACAAAGTCGAGATTAAACTCAAGCCAATTGAGGGGTGGTAGTTGACCAGCCCGAAGGGGGTAATGATCAAAGTTTGTGTTGGTGGGCGTTTGCACGGCAGGATCAAGCGAGGCAGTTGGCGTGTTCGGCATAGTGGCAGATGTTGGTAAATATCGCAAAAGAAATCAAGTTGTGCACTCTACAAAAGGGGGAAGAAAAAGAAAAAGCTGTATGTCACATCGTTTGAGGTATGCAAGATGAGTCTTTAATCCAGTGGCAGTCGTATAGGTGGATAACCTGTTGTAATTCAGAGGTATGAATTGATTGCTATCGTTATTTCAGTGGGAATAGCTGACGCTATATATATATAAATAGGGTCTTTGTATGGACACCTCGGGAATTATTTCCGATGGTGCGGCTTTGTTCCTGATCGTGCGTAGCTGTGTCAGCAGGCACGCCCGACCCCTGGGCAAGTTCCCATACAGCTTCCTGGTGTAGGAAGCCGGCAGCGTGCTATCCATTTTTTCGCAGGTGACCGCCTTTAGTAGATGCTTTCTGTTGTATTTCAGAGGAATTAATTGTTGTTCTTATTTCCGAGGGGATATACAAGGCTATATATACAGCGAGAAGGCCAAGTTGATTGGAAATCAACTTGGTTCTTTGGATAGGCAACCCGGGATTATTTCCGATGATGCAGCTTTGTTCCTGACCTGCGCCAACCTCATATCACAACACTTTCCATTCCCGCTCCCACTGAGCGCGGATGGTGTCTCGGATAAGCGCCCTCTTCCTTGTTAGCAGAGGGCGGAAGGGATGTGTTTTGACCGGGCTTGCCGCGTCCTTGGCTAGCCGATCTGCTGCGTCGTTCCCAGGGTTGTCGCAGTGTCCGGGTATCCATTGGAGACGGAGCGCGATTCCCTTTGTTTGAACCTCTGCGGCTGCCTGGAGGATCGCGTGGGTGGTGCGCTGTCTTGATTTATTTCCTGCGTTCTGGATTGCTTGCATCGCTGATCTGCTGTCGCGGAGGATCGTTGCCGTTGTTGTTCCATCATGTTCCTTTCTTGGCCGCTGATGGCTGATCTTGAACACTGTACTGACAGCGTAGAAAATGCCTATCAGCTCTGCTACGTGAACCGACCACCGGTCCATCGGTCCCACTTGGACCTGTTGGGATTCGATAACCTGCAGGGGTTCCTAATCCAAGACCAGGATGATATTCAATACCTCGAAAGACCACCGCCGAGTTGACGTATCGGTGCTGATCCAGTATAAGGACCTGATAGCTCATGGTATGATATGCATCCCGATCCTATGAAAAGATCCAGATCATCACTAAGCTAGGCACTAACGCCATCAAGCGTCAAGACCAGTCATCCTGATGATCATATCGCAGAAGACTAGGCTCGCCACGTCCCAGATTGCTAATTATTACAGGCTGATCAATGCATGTAAATACCTTTGTCTAGATGGCTTCTCAATAATGTCTCATCTTTCTATAGGATACATAACTACCCCGCCACTTAGCTGGTCCTACGTTAATTGAGCTCCGGGCTAATAATCAAACCTCTACGCTACAAAGCTCGATTTACTTACAGTATTCCAAATCATGCAGAGAGATCTATTGCTAAGCCAGGAAGTTATCATTGTGAGACAGAGTTAACAATATTTGATCGTCATAAGTAAGGGTGTTGTCATTACGACGGACAATTGTGCCGCCCGCATATATGTACATATATGATATCTCACGTTCCATCGCTGCAGTCTGCGTCCTAACATACACATACCCGCCTATTGCTACTCCTGTCTCACAATTATGAGAACTTTTTCGTTGCTGAAAGCCTCATAGTATATATAAGCAAGCGTAGATTAGCTTTGCTGTGTCATGTCAACGATCAATAAATCCGTAAGGTCTCGTACGTCGCAATGAATGACAGAAATCAGATCAGGTGATCTTATGGGATCCTCAAATAGACGTGAAGCTTTCTGATTTCACCGCCCAGTCTTTCGACTGGACAAAGGATACTCCATACACTGGCAGCCATACCCTAAATCTCTTCTCCATCGTCTGAGCTGGGTCCTGGATCTACTCTTTTCCATGCGAGGTCCTATGTGGAATTGGCGTATCCATTCTCTGCGCCCTTTACCAGCGCCGCTGCAAGACTCCGTTCTTCGTCCTCCTCGCCATTAAACATACGGTTTTCGCACTGCTACAGACATCACCTCACTTCTATTGTTGCTTTTAAGCAAAAGACGTCGAAGTAGGTTTCATACCATCGTGAGATCGCCGCTAGTCGAGGACCAGCTATGCCTGCAAGAGGGCTAAAATAAATATTGTAGATAGCCACAGATAACAGTAGGGATACCACAGTGCCTATCAGACATAGGGCAGTAAATGCAAGAACCATTGCGCGAGGGGATTTGATACACGATGCTTGAGATGTCCGGATTCGTGCCTTTAAGACTAGATATGATACGGAAGAGCGCAGTATGCCAAGTAAAAGCGGTGTTGGAGAAATATCTATTGCGATATACGTTAAATAATATAATACGGAAATAGAAGCATGTTTTGCAACTGCAGCAGCAAAGTGGCATGCGATCCTACAAGTTCTCCTGGCGGACTCTAGTTTAACACCCCCTTACATGAAAATCGACACGTTCTGGTATTCTACTGGGCGCACTGAAGTGTGGCTCTTCGTCGGAAAATACAAATATCGCTTCAGAAGGTGGGGATAGGTGCCAAACTAAGCAAATATACATGCCCTGCCAGCAATGCTGCTTTCATTATGCGGACCCAATCCCTGAAAATCTGACAGGAAGTGGATCAAATAGTTAGTTTCAGCTTCCACAATCAGTGACCATTCATCGGAGACACTTTTACCTTCATTCGCCATGGACCCTGGTGGAATTCCACTCCTTGCATATCTAGCACATCCGAAATTGCTTAATATTCCTGGACCAGGGGAGTCACTCAAATAAGACTTACCACCATGGACCCACCCTCAAGGGAATTCTGCTAAGGCATTCCTCGTATTTAATATGGAATATCATATAAACTGGGTCTCCGCCACTGTAAGTGGCCGCTGATCCAGACCGGCAACCCGCCATGGATTCCAAGCCGTTATCAAAAGATTCTATGAGATCAACATGGCGTACTGCCCCTCGCAGCGAGTGGAACGTCAACCACTGGCTCCTGGAGCTGCTCAACGTCTACCCTATTGCCCTGGGCCAGGAAGTACCGGTACACAGCAAAAAGGACAAAGTCCCTTTTATGACTCAGTGGTCTCTTCATCTATGGATTATCATCCACTCAGGGCTCCCACTCATCCTTCACGAGATCTACATGACACTTACTGGCTGCACAATTGGCCAGATCACTGCCTCCACCTTTTACTTCTTTTCATTCACCTCTACTCGAATCCACCAAATACACATAATACGCCGTTTAGGCCACAAATATGGCTTCCTAGATGGCGACAAGCACGAACGTGACGGTGTGCCCGATGTCGGGGTTGCCAAAGTGGTCAGCGTAATATATAAAGCAGCCACTTTCCGTACAATGCTCTCAATCTTTCTGTCATATAACGCACGCGAAAAACCCTCCCAAATGGCCTGGGCCTGGCTTCTTATCGAAATCAGTCTTTACGGAATCGTCCTCGATTTCTTTTTTTACTGGTATCACCGTCTGATGCACGAAGTGAGCTTCCTATGGAAGTTCCACCGCACACACCATCTAACCAAGCATCCGAACTGCCTTCTACTCGGGTATGCAGACCACGAACAAGAATTCATCGAAATAGTCGTCATGCCGATGGTTACCTACTTCAGTCTCAAGCTGATGGGTCTGCCGATGGGCTTTTACGAGTGGTGGATATGCCAGGAGTATGTTGGCTTTAGCGAAGTCGTCGGACATAGCGGTCTACGGATACATTTGATCGTGCCGTCAACCATTAGTTGGCTTTTACGGTTGTTAAGCTCTGAGCTTAACATCGAGGACCATGATCTTCATCACCGAAACGGCTGGCGGAAGAGCCATAACTATGGTAAACAGACTCGTCTGTGGGATCGTATTTTTAGTACCGGTAACGAGCGCCTTGAGTGTGCGGCGGATAATGTGGACTATGAGAATACGGTGAACATGCCTTTTCTTTGATCTCGACTTTTACGATGAATGTTCCTGGGGTCCTCATAGGATTTTCAGGGGATTTGTGGTGGAATAGCTCGAATTGGAATAATTGGAGAATGACCATGACGACGTTGCATGGGTGATACGTACGTAGCTGGATCGTTGATGGGTTCCAAGGTTGTCACTAGGCCGTACAAAAACCCTGTTAGAGTAAGGTTCCGTTCAATATATAATATAATTCCCTGAAAACCCCAACAGTTACTTGCACCGCAGGCAATGTAAATGGATACTCTGTGTATAACCCCACGCCATGTGTAACACCGCTGAGCAAAACCACTGTTCAAATCCAAATATATACTGGACGGGTGGAAAAGGGCACAAAGCCACAGACCTAAATGGGTGAAATAAGACGTTATGACATAAATTTATCCAAAATTCTACAATAAAGGCCCTGTATTTGACTGGATCCTAGGCTTAGCCTAAATTTAATAAAGAACCAAATAACGGACTGGGATAATTCAAGCGAACAATGTTCTACATTCTTAGTCACCCTTAGATATGCCGTACCCAAGAGTAGGCCGAAACGTTCCTCGGTATACATGCAATGGATCGCCCGTCTTGTGGCATTAAGATCCATGATCAGCACGCGCTTAAATAATGTAAGGCTCTATGGCTTTACATTCCGATTTAGGCGAGCAGCCAGTAAGAATTATATTGCGTATCATCCATTCTGCAACCTTGGAATGCCGAGTAAGCACATTCCATCTAGCATTGATCGTATCATCTTACATTTTGAATTCATTATGGCCAGTGTGCGATGAATAGCATTGCAGAGAGGATTTTTTAACTTAAGATTGATATCACTAATTATACGAGACGCGAAATTACCTCTCCAGCCTACCCCTGAGTTAAATATCTTCTAGACTGCACACTGTGAGTCACACCTGGAATTTGACTCTCTCTACCACCAGCTACACTCCAATTACCCTCTATTTCCACTAAGCCATCAACTAGCGTTTTCATTCAGTCACCATGCAACCACGCCAGATTTTGACTTTTGCATCCGCAACATGCCTAGGCCTCTCGTCGGTAGCAGTCGCTGTCCTAGGCACGTCTTGCATTACTGTAGTCTTGCAGTAACTATGCGCCGATTTCCTGACCTGTTAGTGCAAAACGTGCAAAATTTATTCTGCGAGGCTGGCTGTGAACCGAAACTAGACACCTGGGACAAGTATGCAAAGACCGCTGTTGTCGATCCGATATTGGAGGATGCGGCCAGATACTACGATGCTCCAGAGAGCAAGCAAGCGCTCATCGATTCGTCTGATCAGCTTTTTCAAGCAGTCAAGACCAAGTGTGGCAACAAACTCAGTGGTGCCCATTTCTGTGCTCACCTTGAGTGGTTACAGCCTTTCATGGACTGCGCTAAGTCCACTGCGGTTCCAAACTGGAGCAAATCTTTGCCCAAGGTGCTGTCATACATGTCAGAGCGCAACTGCAAGAATGCAAATGAATACCTCACAAGCACCCGGCTGTGGGAGCACGATATCCCGAAGCATTTCTCCAAATGAGTCCACCAGTGCCATGAACTGTAATCATGCGATACTCTCCGGGGACAACGTACGTGCCATAATCAAGCCTCCAGGGTTGACATCCTGGTATTTTACGGACGAGCAAGCTGATTAGAGATTAGATGTACGGCTATGTAGGCCAAGTTACCGGTATATTTTATTCCTTGGTAACTGACCGGAGCATGGAGAGGGTGTGTTCAGATGTTCTGGCCAGTGGAGGGTTGCCCATGGCAATGGAGTGAGAGGAATAATTTGATCTTGGAAGCAAAGTAAATGGGGCTTAGATTATGTTTCGAGGAGTATGGGTGGATGGATTTCCAGAAAATCAAATCTCAATCAAAGTTCAAGCGCGTTTCAATGATTTAATTGCGAAAATTTGTGAATCCATGGAACCTTATTTTCCTGCTTCGAGGAACAGATTCCAGGTTCGTCAGCTCAATTCTCCACGGCTCCTTTTGTCACCAAGTAACAATGTGCTGAAAAGTTGGTTTGAGTACCTATGCCCTGCTGTTACCTACTATATATTTCGCTACTAATTTAAAGACAAATCTAGGACTGGTGGTGTAATATAAATGGCGGTGAAATGCATCACCCTTAGCTTTGATGTAGGTTGATTGAGATCCAATAGATTACGCATTGCAGCTGCCTTAGATTTGTATAACATTGAAACCCGCAATTATTATCTGCAAAAAAAAACTAGCGCAACTCAAAAAGTCTCGACTTTGGACAACGGCTTTTTTCTACCGGGGCAACCAATGAAAAAATTTCCGACCGACATTTTCGTGGTTCATTCTTGACAAGTGTGTCTCACATCCCATATAGACATCTATCTCTCACTATTTTTTCCATATCTAACCCATAGGGATACTTATAGCGGATGCCGATACATTTAGGATGACCCGGTTTTGTAAGAGGAAAAAAATGGAGACCTATCTTTCCTTGTTTTGCACGAGCTCGGTTCTATAAGGACTAGTCATGCCCGAATAGATCACCAAGTAATAAAGACTTGCGGCCCATAGGCCGCGTTGCATATCTAGGTACTAGCCTGGCCGAGGTGGATATAACAGACTTAGTTAGTATTGTATTACCATTACAGGGTGACTTTTACTTTATGTCAAGTCGGCAGTCGATGTGCGGGCTACACCTTGGGGGATCCATTTGAATCCGACGTATACTGTATTTAAGATATGTGTAGAAGCAGAAATCTGTTGAGAGACATCCATCAGAAGTACATAGTGCTTTACGGCACATTTAATTGATCAGAAGGTCACAATACGTGTAAAGATCGACCAAACTTTCATCATGGAAAGATAGAAAGGATATAATACAATAAAATTAATTCTCAATGCATAGGCGAAGTCATGGCCTTAATGTAGTTCTGACCAGGAAGTGTCTGTCCATTAAAGCAGTCGCGCACAACACTCACGTTAACCTCATCTGTGTCGATGAGGACCCAGTCAAATCGCCGTAGAAGAGTGGCAAGCCCAACATAGAGCCAACAGTACGCCATACTACCATGGTCAGCAGAGCATCATCTAGTGAAAGAATGCGACGTGGACCTACTTATGGCCTAAACACCCTTGACTGCCTTTGGAAAATGGGACAAAGTGCCGGTTCATGGTTGATGTGGCTGTTTTCCACCGTTCCGGACGAAAGACGAGTGGATCAGGGAACACCTCAGCATCGCGAAGAATGAAATGGTTGGACATACTGACAACAGTCTAGATACGTGCGGTTTCTATAATTAGCATCCTCGTTACTAAATGGCAGGAAATGGCATACTTTAGCGGGGATCCGCCAACCATGACAGATCAAGTCCTCATCAGGAGCAACACGAGGCAGACGCGAAGTCACTACCGCCGAGAGTCGTAATCCTTCTTTGATCACAGAGGTCTGTTGAGGTCAGCCTATCCTGGGGGAGTCCTTCATATCAAGCCTGATTAGGGCAATTGAGAACATCAAATAAACCTGAAGGGAGTGGGGGAATGTTGCTAAACAAAATGGCACGAGATACTGACGAGATACGGTAATCGCTCCAGTTCACCCCACGAGGCCTCAGCATCTGCATCTGGCAGGGCTGCCTGTAGCTCCTCCTGGAGCTGGTTGTAGACCATTACATTTCGTAGAACATGATACATCGTGATTGCCATGACCTGTGACGGAGCATCGGTGCCTGCCACCAGTAAGAACTTAGCCTCGTCGGTCAGCCGTGCCAGTATGCGTTCGGCTGGGGGCAACTTGTAATTTTGCATGATATGCTTAATTATGGATGGCTCGGTGGCAGCAGAGTTCGAATAAACTCGTCGGGTGTGCCGTTCGATGTCCTAGATATTGTGATGGCTTTAGCACATCTTCTCATTTCTTCTTTTCTTTTCCCCACTTTTTTATCCGCCAGCTTCAGTCCACGCGGAGAAAGAGGCTCACCTGTTCGATTGCATTGATATAGGTAAATGTAGGACAGATCCACGATGAGATAGATAATGGGATGACTCGTGATATGTAATACAGGCAAGGGAAATGGCGCAATATTAATAACATCTCGAAGATACCATTTACCCCCTTCTTCCATTTCTGGCTCTGCACAGGTTCCCGTAGTGTATTAAACCCATTACTCGGGCCAAACACGTATTGCGAGATGATGTCAACAGCAAAGTTGACGAAGCATGTGTGTAATTCTAAGTAATGGCCCATTTGTTGGGTTTCTTGAATATGGCGACAGAGTAGACGTATCTTGGAATGGATGATAGGTTCCAGCTCACGCACGGCCTGTTTGGAGAAGAATGGACTCAGACCGCTGCGCCGCATACGGTGATGGTCAGAGTCATTCGCCGCGAATGATGTCCCTGGGGCAATTGAGGACAGGAACCATGGGTCCTTGTGGCGACGTCGGGTTGGCCCCGAGTACAGCGTATCATAGAATCCAGCTGCATTGATGTGCACCTCTCCAGGGCTAATACGTATAACGGGACCGTAGATCCGGTGCAGACGTTGTATTTCGTACATAAACTGGCCACCACGCACAACGTCAAAGTAGGCTTCATACCAGCGCGTGGATGCTGCCAGTCGTGGCCCAGGGATGCCCGCTAAGGGACTGAAGACGAGACGGTGGATGATGATGCCGAAAAATACAGTGGTGAGCAGAGCGAAAGCAAATGTTGTGACATCCATTATGCCCGTGATGGAATGTATTGCTGATGTAGCATGTAATGCTACTCAGAAGGGAGAAAAAGTGTTGAAATTTCGTTCGGAGATCTGAAGGTAGAGGGCAGATGATGAAAGAGGGAGAAACAGGTGAGGGTGACAGCTGCGACCCGTGGTCCTATTAGATGCCCTTTTCCGCTTGTGCATTTTCTACAGAACCTAGCTGAACACAGGAGGATGCCAAGAAAAAGCGGTATTTGAAAGGAAGTACGTAGTGTTCGGGACTATGCAATGTGGAATTACGTGCTTGGTAATCTCTTATCTTTGATAAGTGACGGTACAGAATTAAGGAAATAACTAGGCCAGAGGTAACAGATATACTAGACTGCCGATAACAGAAACAAGCAGGGGGCCCTCGTGACCGAGACAGGTGACTCTCGTAGACCTACCTATTTTCCTGTATTCTTCCAGATAGAGATTAAATTGATACGTTCTCACGTTTTAGCCATAATTCATAATTTATCTGCCACTCCATCTGGTTCCACTAATAAACTGTAATGCTATTAAAAACCCGCCACGGGATGGCGCGTATGAAAATATGAAAACACAGTGCGCAGCAAGAGGGAACGGTGGAGCGTGAAACCCAACGGTACCTGAAATTAAAACCGTGTTTACGGTAGTGATCGTCATGATCATTCAGACTCATCAATTCGCTCTACTCTCTGGTGCATATATGGGTCTCTCACTCCTTGCATTTCTCACTCCAACCTTCTCACGTACGCTACACCTTGTACGCTTCGAAGTCATTACCCATTCTGTAAGGGGACGATAGCGTGTAAGGGAAAATTTTGTGGTACGTACTCTGCCGGCAAAGATACAGGGTTTGTCTCTAGTTCACATTTCTGTTCTGTTCACTCACCTCGCCGCTACATTCAGAGATTTGCTCCCACAAATATTTCCTGGTCTTCTATAGAGCAACACATCTCCCAAAAGTGCTTTTATACGGTTCTTTCATGCGGTTCTGACTTGTTAGAAATCATGCCTGAAACAAAGTCATTTTCTTTTTCTCTCGCCATACCTGATCGAGGAATATTCCAGCAGATGCACAAATACCACGGCGTCGCTGAACTCATGGACGCTAACTGGAATGCAACAATGAGCCGCTTACCAGACTGGCTTCCCACAAACTATGTCTCTTATTATCGACAGATTGTCAGCCTACGACTAGCTGTTACTATGACAGCAGTTTATATCTCTCTGGCTCTCTGGGGAAATAACGTGAACCGAGCACGAGGGTACCGCCGCTGGTCTTGGAGCGCAGCTCGGCTCTCCCGACTCTTAATTCATCTCCACAATGGTTTTCAGACGGGGTTTTCGTTTTCTGTGTGCTTTAAAGCTGCGCAACTCATTATACGAGGGCTTCCAGAAGCTAGAGATGAGGGCTTCTGTGTTCAAATGATGGACTACCTTTGCCGAATCCAAACGCCCCTCTGGGCGACCGGCAAAAACCAGCGTGGTCTATGGTCTGATTTTGAAGGACTGGCGGGAGTATTTTTCTTGTCTAAATACTACGATCTCCTCGACTCGATGATTATATTCGCTACCGGTCGATATATCTCCGGCTTACACATATTTCATCACGCTGGGGTGATTATCTGGTCGTGCCTTCTGTGGCGTCTGGCTTCCCCACACGCAATAATTGGAGTTCTTTTGAACTCAGGCGTTCATAGCCTAATGGCAAGTATACATTTCTCATATCTTTGGAAGAGATAGCAACTAACCTACCTTCCAGTATTCGTTCTTCTTACTACGTGGTCTCCATATTAGCGTCCCATTGGCGGCTAAAAGGTGGCTAACGACTGTGCAAATTGGACAATTCTTCATCGGTTGGCTTTTGGCCTGCTGCTACTTTTTTCGTACAATATGATGTTCCTGGCCGTTTATCAAGCGGCGAATTGGAGCTTGTGGGATCGGATAGGGCCAAAACAGTTGCTTGTCTCGAACACCAGGCCCACTTTCTTGTGCCTCTCGTGGGTGGTGTTGTATATTTATTCCCTTTGACTTACCTGTTCATATGTTTCTATAATACAGCCTATCGTAAGTAGAGGCCTGATGTTACAATGAACCGATTCGCATACTTTATGGTAGATTGTGTACTAATATTCTTTGATATATCTCTTGCTTGGCTCTATCCATTCCACTCATGGCCAGGATATGCTATCATGCGCTATGAGAGAAGATCTAGTGTACTCTTCAATGAAACAGTATGGTATTCATATGAGAGAAAATGAAACTCTAATTCTCTACTGCCTTCTTGTCTTTCTCAACTCTTCGTCTCGTGCAGAAATATGCAGACAAAACCCTACAACCCTAAGCCAAGAGGATCTAATCCAAATAAAGTGACAATAATGCAGGTACCAGGAGGCAGGAAGAGCGAATGAGCGACGTGCGTGGCAAAACAGTCCATACGTAGTTAAGCCACCTCTTTTTGCAACGTCTTGCGCACACGTACATCCGTGTTGACTGGAAGACGCGCGCCGCGGCACGCTGTAAGCCCTGAAACGACGTGGCATTAGTGCAGATTGATCTATATTCGAAAGCAAATTACTGTCGTCTTTGGTACATAAAGGGCCCTTTCCGGTGACAAAAAACAGAGGGACGGATGATGTTTTGACGTTCACGTATTATATTCCCATTGCCTCAAGCTGTGCAATTAGCTGGGGTGGTGTCACATCCTCAGGTGATGTCCGCAAGGGGCGGGGAATCAAAGGACGACGCTGATGCCGACCTATATCCACTGTATCTTAGTATTTCATTACTTTAAGATCCATGATTCTGAGACATGGCACCATTGGCTCCCCAAGCCACATCAGAATCTACCGAGAAAGGCGTGGTCTTACCTGCTAGAATGTCATGGACAGTTTGACTTCTTATAATAGCACGTGTGGGTATATAATGGGCAATAAGATACTCCCTAGCAACACTCGCTTGGGCTGCTTCTAGAATCGACAACGAAAGTGCATCAACAATCTCCTTGGCGCGGAAGATAAAAAAGCCGTGAAGAGCCGCCGTATCAATCTGAAGGAGAGTGCAGTTTCTGCTGCCAAAGCGGCTATGCCTTTCCAGCATCCAATTTTCAGCATGTCTTCTCTGAGAAAAGAGCGAGATAAAAATGCTCCTATAGTTAGGGTCCCAGCTCAAATGCTGCTCTACTGCGTCGCCAAATTCTTGGAGAGTATCGTCTTCTTCCTGTTCGTCCCCTTCACCATCATATAACGTAACCATATCATCTGCCTCGAGCCCCTCATATATGTCATAAGTCGTCATAGAATCCTCATATTGGACTCTGTAGAGTGTACTAGGGACATCGGCTGGATGGAGGCTAAAAGTATTCATTACTATATGCCAATTGATGAGAGGCATCCTTCATACCGATCAGTTACACGAAGGAACGCTTACCGAGCAAGTGTACTCTGCGGTACGGCACGAATTGTAGTATGAAGAGAAGTCCCAAAAGCCCGGCGCCTTGATCACTCTAAAGGATAGCATCTCCTCGAGCCGAGGGCAATCTCAATATATTTCTTTTACCGCAGGGTTTCATCAAGTTTGGGGGTATTTAATGTTAATGCATTGCAGCCCAACCCCGCTTCCAATTCTTAAGAAAAGACGCAGTACAAGCGAATGGCAAGCCAATAACAATAAAACATTATGAAAGTGCGTAGCAAAAGCATGCAAGCAATGAATGAGAGTGTACAACGAATAAGCAGCAAATATGAAGCACAGACCGTAGGGTTAAGGAGTCAGCAGTTAGGGTTATGGAGGAAAGAGCCAGTAGACCAGGACAAAAAGCGCCAACACTAACCAAAGATGATGAAATCTTGAAAAGCAATCAGAAGAGGGCGTGGAATGAGAAGAAATCAGAAAGTATCGAATCAGAGGCGAGCAGTGGATCAGACTAGCGAATCAGAAGCCACAATTTGGCTAACATCAACCAAAAAAATAAAGTTTTGGAAGACAGGGGTATTCCCGCGAGCGGAGAGTCCCTTTCTCTCACTTCGTTCGTTTCAGGGCAATCTACCTAACATCAACCAAAAAAAATAAAGTTTAGGAAAACAGGGGTATTCCCGCGAGCGGAGAATCCCTTTCTCTCACTTCGTTCGTTTCAGGGCATGAGCGACGTGTGTGGCAAAACAGCCCATACGTAGTTAAGCCACTTCTTTTTGCAACGTCTTGCCCACACGTACGTCCGTGTTGACTATTCCCTTTCTCTCACTTCGTTCGTTTCAGGGCACAGCATAGTTTTCGTATTAGAACTGTACGGTCTTCAGGGTGTCTAGGTCGACCTTTCTGCAAACAAGCCAAAGAGAAGGAGAGTTTTGCCCAGGTCGGTTCGGGCAGACTGTCGGGCCGTGAACCAATATTTACTAGACAGATTTCGCGTGTGGTTGTAGTTTCGAGCAAGATACGATTAACTTGTGGTAGTTTACCTTGAATACATAAATTCCTCGCTTCTTTTGTAATTTCGAATTACCGTACTACGATACATGTACCAGCATCTTGCAGAGCCCGGGTCGGGTATTAACGACGCTGCTTGCCCTCAACCTCTTGGCAGCAATGCTCACTGCTGAAATGTTCAGGTCAATGCCTATCGGTAGTGCGTATCAGATCAATTTCTGATAGGAAAAGATGGCTTTAGTAATATAGAGAGCAGAAATTGCTATACAGTATATACATGTCATTCCCACGAATTTATATTATCTAGGGTATCATATCTAGGATCTTCGTTTCCCGTGCCAGCAATGTCCCATAATTAGATAACGGAGCCCGATGGGTTAGGCCAGGTGTTTGCTTCTTCTTGATTAAGCAATCCCGTAGCAAATTGGTGGATTCGGCAACCTGAGCTGGAGCGTTCTAGGTGAAAGCAACATTACTGTTGCAGTAAGTTAGATGCGATAGTAAATACAAGTATTTAAATAGACCTTACTTGATTACTGTACATGTACATATATGCAATGTAGATATTTTAGCTAACCAAATAGTGCTTTATTCAAAGAATTCCACGACGACTCTCTCATGAAATCCAAAGGTCTTGAAATCAATATCATCATCGTAATCATCAATTCTCACATCAACTGATTTCAGTGATAGTAATGCATAACTGGCGCGAGCCAAGTGGCTAAGAAGATCCATCCTGAGAGGCTCTCGCAAATTAAGATCCAACTCTTCAAGACAATCAGGCAGTACCGCGTCGCTAGATACGAGATTTTGATCCACCGACAAATATCTTAAGGAGGATAAGCTTGTGAGTGGACCAAGGTACTGATCAGAGTCAACGTCCTTGGTGGCCATATACTCATCATACTCCCGAGCAAAGTAATCATTATCACAACGAATTTTCAAGCTGAGACTCTCAAGGCTGTCTCTAGAAGAGTGAAGAGCCTGGGTAATCTGGGATGCAGTGAAGTGGGTCCCCTTTCGAAACCTATAAATTGCAGGTCGAGTATATGCGAAAGACAGCAGATATGGGCGGTTCTCGAGAAGTTCGTGGATAGCTTCGTAGTTTAAATGACTCTCCGTAATACTGATGTGGCGGAGGTTCAGTCTACCAGGTAACTCGAGAGCCTTGTCCTGGTAGAGGCCATGTAAACGCATTGACAATAACACTGGACTAAGCATGAACGGCCGCAATTGGCATAGCGTATTTCTTTTTGAGCAGCGGCTAGAATCTCTGCCCGCAAACTCCTGAAGACATGGGAATACGGCATTCTGAAGTGATTTCAAGGTATGTTTGTCAACTGGAACGGCAAGAGTGCAAATATTTGGGGCTACAGCGAGTATTGGATCGAGTAGGCAAGCAATTTTGCCGTTGTCAGAGATATCATGTTGAAAGTAGGTGATTTCGATGATGCGGATCGCTCCATAAAGAGACGGTTTTTCTTTGAGAGCATTCCCAAACGCTTCTAGCCGGCTCAATGTAGTTTTGAGGTCAAAACTTGATTGAAATTTCCTGAAAAGGAGGGGTTGCGTCCAAACTCGAAAACACTGGGAGACGCAACAAAGTGATCTGAGAGCGGGGTAATCGAGAGTATGGAGTATTATTGATATGATATCAAATGGTAGCGATCCTATTGTGGTCATTTCGTCGAAACGCGCAACGCTGGAGGTTGTAGAAAGGAATTTGAGGCAGGAAACAATGAGATCTCCCGTCCAGAAAGAAATGACAACGCAGTTCTAAAAGTGCTCATGAGTCGTACGGCTTTATGAGGGGTGAAATGATCGTGTTCCTGAAAGGTGTGGGATTATAAATAATAAAAACTGCCAGTGATGAAAGGCGGTGGGTGAAGTGGAAACTAAATCAGTCTTACTGTGCAAGGCTGTAGGCATCCATTAAATGATGTTTCGAGTGGATGAATGCTCGCCTCCACATCTATTTGACCATTACACATCGTCAGATCCACCATCAGGTGACCCCGGGTTGAACATGCTCTCGGAGACGTTCTAGAGCTTTGTATCCGTTCCAAGCTGTTCGGTCCATATCCTACTCCTAGGAGTTGTATTGTACTCGTATTGATTCCTGGGAACTTCATTAATTGTTCCTAGGAGATTTATTCCAGTATACTCATTCCTAGGAGTCAGACATGACCTTACTTTCCACTCCCAGGAGTGTCAACTCTTGGCAACGACAAAATTGTTTAAATCTATATTGGTGCCTAGGAGCTCATCCATTCCTTGCCGGGAGTGTCGTATGTCTACATACGCCCCTATAAAACCCCACTTATCTCAAGGCTTGATTTTCTAGAGTTATTCCCAGGAGACTAAGTGTTTGTCTGCCGGCGTTCCACATCCGCTGAAGCCGTCGCTCACAATGGTACATAGATATACGAGGCAAAGGCTTTTCCATCTATCGATTCGAAAAAAAGAAAAAAAAAATAAGATGCTGTCGTACAGTACTAGTAAGAGCTGGCAACTCGAAGAAGCCTGGACTTGCTTGCTGCTGAGATCCATTGCTCCCAGGATCATTCAATTACATAGCACAGTTCCCCTGGCAAGCCATGTGGCAAAACAGGCTGGTTGATAGAGCCCTAAGTTTGCGGAGCCAGGCAGAGTGTGGGAAATCTGCCGAGCTCAGCCTCACACTGACTCGCTTCCAGGGACGGAGGCCTTGCGCAGGAATCGAATAAAGCTTGACCAGAGAGATGCGTCTCCTCTGTTTTTGTTTTTTTTTTCCTATCATTACTTTGTCGTGTTCTTCTTTCCATGGGCAAGATTCGCACAAAGGTATCGAAGCAATTACTTAGACACAACTTGCCCAAATGACCTTGCGCTCCACAATGTCTACCAAATACACCATTCGGATGCGCCTTGCCATTGCTTTCCTCGCTATCATTGGGCTGGCCTTTGCCAGTCTCAACTCGGCCATGGCGCGCTTCGCGGTTATTCTCCGGGACCGAGCGAAAGCCGATATCATCACTTCCAACAAAAGCATTTCAGACAACACATTCAGAAATCTGATGGATAATGTCCTCATAGATGTCGTGATTGCAGCCATCATATCCACCTCATTTGCTATTACGGGAGCTGTGCTTGCAGGCCACCCCAGATGGCTACGAGAGCAAGAAAAAGCCTGGATGTACTTCGGGTGCTTTCAATGCATCCTGAGCCTGGTCATTATATCCACCGGGGGTTATCTAGCCGACCACGTGCATGGCTTCCAAACCTCCTTTGAAAGGTTTAGCGGTAATGACAACTTTCAGTATTACAACATCATGTACTATGGAGGGGTTGGTCAGGCTGCTTGTGGGTCTCTGGTGATATTCGTGGCCGTTGCATCCTTTGCCGCTTTTATGATCTCTGATAGTCACGAAAGAAGCATCCAGCCGATCGAACGGCAATCAGAGCAGTATCAGTGAGGTGGGTCCTCTCAGGTTTGGTGTCTTCCCAAGGCAGCAGGGGCAAGAATGAGGTGGTCCAGAGTGAGATACAGCCATCGGCTTTGATAGATAGAAGGCTTGAGTAGACATGGATCATGCATGATTGAATTATTGAAAAACCGTGGCAGATAAAGGCCTGTAAAAAGGAAGGGCTCAATTGTTGTTGCACGGCGAGACGTTTCATTTGTCTGAACGTACTATATTGTTTTTATGTAATATCGAATATCACAAGCAACATTTGGTAGCGATTATTTTTTTCAGGTGAGACTACGAGGGTAAAGCCGAACCATCATTGAACGGGAACCATATCCCCTATTCATAAAGAGAGTTTACTGCCACTTCACAATTGCATCTTTACTCTCTTGCGCATGTGCTTCTTAGGAAGCTTTCTTTATCCACAATATGACATCGCTACTTTCTGATCAAATCAAACTGTCTTTCATAAAAGCGATAGGCGATCCCCGGCTTCGTCCGCAGTGTATCTGGGTTAGTGAAAATAGGCTAGTCTGCCCTAATAACGTTTCGATGGACAGTCGCAACCTCGCTAGCACCGAGCTATCTGCCTTGGAGGGTAATATCTCTATACCCACTCGGAAGAACATCTCAAGGATCGCTAGCTTTCTATTGTGTGAAGATTGCAAGGTTCATGAGATCCAATGTCCAGAAATCGTTCGACGGCTCGGTAAAAGGTATCAACAGCCACGCCGCTCATTGTTCCCTTGTGACAGTCGTCTATACCGTTACAGTATCAAGGAAAAACAACGGTTGGGCTTCAAACAGGGCTCCTCCAGCAAGGCATACAACGACATCTTGTGGACCCCGAACGAGCAGATGATGATACTGTAGCTAGGAAGGGCGGGACCACTTTGAATACATAAAATGTTGTACAATAGCACAGAGGAAAGTGAAATTTATGTCCGGAACAAAGGGCCTTGACATTGTGTTCAAATAGTAAAAGTATGAACCTGACTGAGTAAACCTTCGGTACAGTAGCTAGGAAAGGTTCTATAGATGCAACGTAATGTACCGCTAAGACTGTTGCATTATTCCTATGTAGTTCCAAAGCTACCCTTCTAGAATCAATGCAATTTTTACCTGTCCACATTCATCCAAGGGGCAGCATCGCCATCTCGTTCGAAGTCAAAGAGCCAGACGCTTCGTAAACGCTACAGCAAGTCCGGTCTCCTCTTTGCAGCCGGATAGGGCATCAAACGAGGACGGAGATTTGATTTGAAACTGTGATCTTTCAGTTCTAACCCTCAGAATGTGCATTATATGAGACTCATTATATGAGACTTACATCGGGCGATGACGTGCAAGAACCCCTCGTGCTTCCATCTTCAGTAAATGGGCCGCCATCCAAAGCGGATGCCAGCAACAACTTTCTCGGCGAACCGAGCCTGGGCTTGATTTCTTCTGTTGGTTGATATAGGGGATGTCCTTCCAAAGCCATATTTAACCGGAAAGTGAGGATTTGCGTGCCGAGTACGAGGTTCTGGTCGGCCATGCTGAAATTGAAACGGGGCGGTTCCTTGGGAGAGAAGAGATGCGGAAGAGAACAGAGGCATGGTAATTTAGTCAGGGCAAAGCTGACCCTTATATCCTGCGGAAACCACTGGCTGCGCCATGAAAGATTGAAGCAGGGCGAACATTCTCTATTTTCTGCAATTATTCTCATACCATTCTTAGTCAGGGTTGCTCGGTATTCCTAGGAGCGAAGTTCGCGATTAGCATCCGTTCATCGTTCTGCCTTTTTAATCGAGGGCTTCGGTGTTTTCATGCCGAAACCCGCTGGCCTATGGCTATCAAGCATGAGGTATATTGTACCTGGGAACAATAGGGGAGATAGCAATGACTACCCATGATGATGTTGCCTGGGTTGGGCATTCAACCAATGCGTTCAACTTTTGCCTGAGGTAAAACCAAGACAGAAAACTGCCACCGTGGTCAACTTACATCGGCCAGGAGAGCTGATGTAACGTGTCAAAGAAATGGGAAGATTGACTAGAATAGCCGATGCCATATCTTCCAGCGTCTGACAGAACGCGAAGATCTTGAAAATTGAAAAGGGACCCTTCCAGGGTACATAGAAATTCGCATTGGATACTTCCTGTCAGACTGGGATTGGATTCTAAACAAGGTTTACAACCATGAGATGGATTTGAGCGAAACCCTTTTAAAGGGGAAAAAATGAATAGATAATTCCGCGACTTGCTAGCCCTTGTATCACGTTGCCCCTAGTGTGTGATTCGCTGGCTGGTTAATTAGGCAGTACATTGTTTATTAAATTATTCCGGTGATTTATTTTCTTTCCTTTCCGGGCCGACCACAACATAGAGATAGACCTTTCAAGTGATGTTGACGCAGTTTCCTAGCCAGCCAGCTCACCCTGGATTTATCAACATGGTTTGGACGTCGCACAACAGGACAACTATGAACAAACGAAAGACGTTGTACAGCGACGTCGTTATCATCGGAGCAGGCTTGTCGGGAATCGACATGGCATGCCAGCTCCAACGACAACTATGTGTTAGTGACTATGTGATTTACGACCGCGCTCGAGAATTGGGTGGAGCGTGGGCAGCCAATAATTGTGATGTTCCTTGATTCCGTCTGCATATTACTTGTTAACAAGCAGCAGATCCAGGATGCAGTGTTGATATACCTGGCGCTTTATATTCGCTGTCGTGGTTCCCGAATCCAGACTTCACCAGACTGTTCCCTCTAGCGGAAATTTTATCCTATATCCAACATGTCGCTCGCGCTAACCATGTCACTAAACATGTGAGATCTCAGATCGAATGGAAAGGTGCCCAGTGGGTAGAAGCTTCAAGTAGATGGCATGTCTATCTCTGCGATTTGAAGACACGAGAAGAATTCATTCATGAAGCCAAAGTGTTGACCTCTGCTGTCGGGGGCTATACAAATCCCAAGTTCCCCGTTCTACCTGGCTTGGAGCGGTATGAGGGTCCCGTCGTGCACACTGCCCAATGGAACAAGGAGTCCGACCTCCGAGGCCTCAACGTGGCCATGGTAGGTAATGGATGTTTGTTCACGCCCTAGAGTCATCTAGGAGACCATTGGATTAACAGTCCTGCAGGCTCCGGCTCACAGCTAGTTCCTGCTGTGATCGACCAAGTTAACAGCCTGACGCAGTTTATTCGGGCAAGTGTTCCATTCCAGCGAGCTTGCTTGATTTTCTGACACAGTTACGTGGGAGTAGAGCCCACAACATTACGTGCCGATGCCCATAGGCAATTACCGATTTGGAAAATCATTGCGCTTTTGCTTCTCCTACATTCCACTTACTTTACTTCTTATCCGCTGGGTGATCTTTTGGATCCTTGATACAACACTTAGGCAATTTTACAACAATCCCAAGGGGGACAGATTAAGGGAGAAGAGAGCTTTTTATAGTCAGAACTATATTATAGAGAACGCCCCTGGTGAGTATGTGGCAAACGCTGTTGCCACCCTAATACTGACAGTTACACTCTAGAGCAATACTAGCTATTGCTCACCCTAAGCTATGAACTTGGATGCAGAGTAAGCGGGTGTTAGAAGTACATCAGGTCACCACTAACATCGTGTGCAGCGAAGTATATTGGACAATGACTACATCCGGACGCTTCGCAACCCTAGAATAAAGCTAATCAACGACTCGATTGCGCAAGTCAGCTCGAACAGCGTAGTAATAGGTTTAGGAAATAAATACCCGGCTGATTTCATCGTGAGCTACACTTGATTAGAGCATCCATAAATCATGCTAACCATAGATCGTAGATTTTGGCGACGGGATTCGAGTTCACGCAATAGAAGCCCGACGCTATGATAGGCAGGTAAGGCAAATCGTTAAAACAGCACTAGGACGATCAAGGCGGCATCGGTGCTTACAAGACCGTGGCAATGAACGAATTCCCCAATATATTCTACTTACTTGGCCCAAATTCTGGCAGCGGACATACATCTGTTCTTTTTGCGATCGAGTGGTGAGTATTGTCGTAATATTGCGGTGACCTATATTGACATTCGTTACAGCTCGGTTAATCCGGTTATTAGAATTGCACGTCCTATACTTCAGCGATAGGCATCAATTGTCGAGGTAAGCAAAGGGGCTGAGGTCGAGTGGTATAACACGATACAGACTGCTCTCAGCAAAACGGTGTTGACGCGCACCTATTCCAGTGTAAGTCTACTACGGAACATCGACTCTGTCTTAGGCCATTTACTAACCATGTCCAATATAGCAATATACCGACCCGAAAAGTGGATGGAACTTCTTTTCATACCCTTTCAGTTCATTGTGTTTCTGGATTGGTACGAGGTTTCCTACAACGAAGCACTAGGGGTATCGCTAGCCACCCACGGCCACATGGAGCCAGAGACTTCAATGCATATATTCAGCAACTATGTGATGGAGGGCAATTTTCTTGAAGGTTTTCGTACTTCATGTTTTCGTTGGATCATGTTGGACCATCTCAAACCCACCACTGGTAGAGCCCTCACTATGCTTTCTGCCAGCTGCATAGGGATTTAGACGAGGGGTGAAGCTATCTAGTAGTCGGGTGGGCTATTCCTTGCTAAAGCTATTGCTAATAAAGGATAAAAGTGTATTTCACGTCTAAGGCCTGGGCGTGCGTAGACGAGCGCAGGCCTTTCTGAAATAGACCATTGAGTGCAGTAGCATAAGTAGTTCTATCTGATCATGTTAGAATTGACGAGGTTGATATAGATGCAGTGGCGAAGAAGCCGCAAGCGCCGCTATCCCGAACAATAGACTATTAGTCGTATAGTGTGTTCGCTCAAAACGATACTCGGCTTAGAAGGATACGCGGCTCCGATCCTCGGATCATCAAGCCCCTATAACAGAGTGTTAAGAGTGAGCTCACCTTAGCCATAGGTTGCGCTAAAGAGGTTATCCCCCTTCTCTGTCTTCTTCACGCTTTCTGCTACTATTACGAAGATAATGCTGATTCGGCCTAGGCAAAGCGCGATGCAGTTGATTTGTGCTATTTGATCGGCTGTGTGCGCGCAATAGACTTCTCAAGCGGTCGCATCAGTTTGCACCACTCCCACTATTCAGCTCGGCAGGTGCGGAGGCACGGCTGCCGGCGGGGTTCTCCCCTTTCTCTTCGCACTTCTCGCACTTTGGTGCCTACCTAGCCTCCTCCGCCTCCACCCCTTTCACCACCAAGTCAAACATCAAATCAAATAACTCTGCATCTCTAAGCCCATGTTTGATTCCCTGCTCTCTGAATAGGTAGTCTATCATAGATCCCATTCGCCGATTCACTTTATAAAGAAGCTCGGTTAAACGGACGATTTCCTCTAGCTCGCTCCTAGATTGGCTGAGCGATTCCCGTATAGCGACTAGCTCCTATTCGGATCGCGCTTGGCGGCGCTCTACCTAGAGAGTGCGTGTATTGAGTGCACCAATAATCCGAAGAACTTCCTAGGTACTGGTCAGCGGCGCCGCGGTCAAAAACGGGTACACTTACTAAGGCATCTATGTCTGCGGGCGGAAACTGGGCGAAGATGGAATACGGGATCATTAGATGTCTTGGATATGGGCATAGAGGACCGGGGCCTTGAAGTGATAGATAGAACTCTGAGATTTGGGATACCAATGGCAATACTTATAGGTTGTACACTGCATCACTCCAAAACTAGCTATGCATCTCTTGCCCGACTTCTACAAAGAGTTGAGGGGCAACACCATAGCTCACGCACGGTATTGAGCGTTCATGATGACTTTTAACGAGGATACCTGAGCGAGCCTCAGGAAGAACTAGGTGCTGGGTTATTTTGTTAGCAGATGTGTTCAACCTGGTAGCCCTCAATTACAATATCTCGCAGTGTGTTGATTACAAGTTCATGCGATTAGGTATTCCTCTAGTTGGCGAGCAGCGCTTTCGACTCGTTGCTCGTCACGAGTCTATTCAACGCTTCCTTGTGCCCGGGACACATGGAATGCGACTCACACTCTCCGAAGTTTGTTTATCAGGGAGCGCCACTTGTTATGAAATTAGAACCCTGAAGCTACCCTTGTAATTTTGGAATTTAAGGGCCCGACTCTAACTCTGTTCCCCTCCGATCCCTATCAACTGTATCAGAAATTTGACATCGCTCTGTACCTACCAACCTCCCTATCCTGCGTCCGGGAAATACTAGCATGAGACATTCCATATTGAATCATGCTTAGGACATTGTCGAAGGTGGCGAGATGCTTTAGGCTAGAGGTAGTACATGTCATTGTCCTTCGCCGATCGCGTCACGGGGATCTACGTCTTACTCAGTCTACATTTCCTTCGAACCATCCCACGGTGGATTTCCTGCTAGCATTTGGAAGGCATATACTAACTCTAGCTAGGATATTACCCTGAATCTTGACGAGGAAGAGCCGCTCATCCAGAGAAGACAATCAGATGGCCTGTTAGAAAATGGCCTGCTAGAAAAGGGTAGCGAAATCGCCGGTCGCTCATACTGTATCATTGCGGAGGGATGGATTGGAAGAATTGTGACTGCATTTTCTGTACATCCCTGATAAGTCCCTGCGTGACATACCTAGCCAATATCAGCAATTGGATAAAATGGGATTTGGTATCGCTGTTCAAGCTACCTTGGGCCGCCTCAAAATTCTGAACCAGGTCAAAGCCCGGACCAGGTAAACCAGACAAATGCTCATCTCTTGGCCATGACATGGCCCGAGTTGGACCCATTGTGGGGCAGGTGTTTATTTCCCTTCAGCCCCGTGAGCCTTGCCTGTCTCGACCGGAAGTTGCAACCAAGGCTTGGAGAACCTAGTAACTAAAACGTGGGAACTAATGAACAGACTCGTGAGCAAACTCACCGGCATTCCGTGCTAAGGTAGGAGCTTGGTCAGTTGGACTCCAATGTTAGTCATGATCCAGCAATAAAAGAATGCACGCAACCTCTTCCTACAGAAGCTGGTTGGTGAGGCTCTACTGATGCTCATTTCACCGGCCTCAGCAAATTCTGACCTAGATACACGCTAAGCCTGCAACAAGATCCAACCTTCCACATTTGAACAGTTGACCATCCTGTTTAACCTTGGCTCTGGAGAACTTTCACTCCCAATAGTTCCTTATTAAACAGACAGTGGGTTCTTAGGTAATAAAAAATCAGTTGACGCAGCCATAAGGAAAGAAGATTATTCCTCCCGCTGTCAGGCCCGTTTATTTCGCGTATTGCACGTTTGTTCACCTCTGCCGCTGAACGGGCGCGGTTATTTTTCCGATCAATCAAACACATGATCTTGATGTTCAAATGGCCGCTTTAGATACAGGCCAGCAAGTACTATTAAGGCTATAAGGGGAAATACCCACCTATCCCACACTAGATACGCCTTGCTCGTGTAAGAGTGGTTAAGTGGGAATAGTGGCTTTGGCCGTGTATCGATTGATAAGGACATACAATCATTTACTAACATCAAATTACTGTATCCTTTCTCTGGCAGCAATTATCCACTTCTTCATCGACGTGGCTATCAAATGCTCGACACTTTTGCCGTCAATCTGCCCAATTAACTCCCTTACATGTAGTATCAATACGAGGTGAATATTTGACAGCAGGTCTTTTACAGTGACCATGGCTAACATTCTCATCCCATAGATGTATTCTGGAAAAGGACTGCTACGACACCAGAACAGTCGTATCAATGCATCATTTGGTATCGACGGCATTCTTTGTTCTTTCAGTGGTACCATATCGGATGAAGCCCCTTCCTTCAAGTGCTTAGCTATGTCTCTTGCCTACAGTTCTATCACTCAAATGACCGGCAGAAAGAGACATTTTAAAGGAGTGTTTGGTCCAAATAATGTTCAAATCACAATTGACAACGGAGTCGTCGTCTCGGGCAAACTCGATGGTTCTATCGATGGCGCGACTCTAGTTTCTGGTAAGTGTTCATAGGTTCAGATCTAAGCTACGATGATATATATCGTCGACATATGAACGGGCAATTTCAAAATCTATATATAATAGGACTATAAGCTTCCCTTCAAAACAAACGGACATTTATTACCTCGCAGCGCGACATCTACGATTTCCGCTCTACATTTACGTTCATATATATATACGCGCTATTTTTCAATCATTAAATCCCCTAGCAGCCACCTCCCCACAAACAACTTAGGACAAGACAACCTCAAGGAGCATTCAAACTTTGACAACATCCACCCCCCGCGCCCCCCTACTTATGTTAGAAAATAATGACACGATAGACCTCGCTCTCAAACACCATCATAAGCGACATGATATAGGACTATACACTGCGTCTAAGCAGTTACATATGCCCTTTTCTTTTATCAACCAGGTATCGAGATTCTCTAACCTCAACAATCGGCCCCGAGGTTAACCCCCCAGCTTTTTACTACTTCCATGGGCACTACGATCCGAGTCGCCGGGTTTTACCGGCATCAGTCAGTTCACAGCTGCCGCGATAGCAACAGTGGTGTGCGTTGTATTTTCTTTCTCATTTAAGCTATTTTTAAGCCCCCAGTACCGAAAGCATCACATCCTCGAATTCATAATATTGTTGAAGTAGGAGCCCATTCCTAGAAGCTATATCGTTAAATATGCAGCTGACCCACCATTTTGGCCTAGTGGATGCTATGAAGCTAGTAAGATGGGCTTTATTAACATGTCTATTTTCGTTCTTTTCGCACCGCAAGACTCTCTCCGACTTGCTTTGACTAGATGGAGCTTGAGCATCGCCGTCACAGTATGCTACATCATCATGCTTTATCTTGCCGACGATAAATAGGACGATAATTATATGATTCGAGCTCAACGTACTGTAAGAACAATGTAATTGGTCAGCTTTACTGTTAGTACACAATATGTCGGTTGAGCTAACTAGTTGAAATGCTTCTTTTTGGCTAAGCAGTGAGCTGTTTGAGTGCACCCTATCCCAGTGATGATTCTCCATATGGCATCAAACAAACAAATACATCCTAACTCTCGACCGATATATGCTTACGTTTTCCTTTTCACCAGCCTTCGTTGCCGATATAATATCTCCTATGGATGAGTGATTCTAGTTTCCCACCAGGGGGTATCGTATCGAAGTACGGGCACTTGAAATTTTGAATTCAGGTCTTAGCTGTTTTCCGTGCGTTCCGACAATACATCTACCACTTTCTACAGTACGTACTAAGCATCCTAAATTAATAAGCCGTCCACCTCAAAAGCCAGTCTCGGGCATAGCAGTCCAGGATGTCGTCTTGCACAATATTCAAGTGGCCGCTACGTAGAGTCACGCTATCTCTTTCAGCCTTGTCCGTCGCAAACACTTTCGTCCCGCTGTGGTTAATAGAAGACTAGACACCATGCATCATCTCATAATGATGGAGTAGTTTAACTGCCGGGTTGATATATTCTTCACCTCGTGCCTCACTCTCGCGGAGCAACTAAAGCCACTCTTTAAATAGCAAAACCTGAAATTGAAATCCGCTTCGTTAGAGGGTCGCCAGCAGCTCCGACCAAGAAAACACGCGCGAGTTACACACGTTGTAGATCGAGTCGTCAACATAGGCCACCCCGGAGGTTTCGGATACGCGGCTTAGCCTAACGTCGCGCTTAGGCGCAGAGCATGACTCAGCCAACTCAAGCATTACTATAGCCAACTTGTCCACAGGAAGCCACGAACAGGTCTAATGTAGTTCAGGCAGGGCTCGTAGGGTCAGTGCCGATCGGATCAGCAAAGGAATTGCCTCGGAGTCGTTCCACAGGCCTTTCTTCGAATGTCCTAAGACTTAACCAATTCTAAGAGAGTACGCTCTTGCCCCTAACCGGCGTGCAAGGCTAACCATTCTTTCTCCCACCAGCTTAGACTAACCGTAGCCCATCAGCGCGCTATTAAGATCGACTGCTTCCTCTTCGATCGTGGCCGAGGAGGCCCCCAGCGCCGTAGAGATAGAAGAGCAAAACAATATAACCGCAGGTTCAGGTCTTCGGACGGAAAGAGAAAACATAATAAGGTTGTATAGTCCCCGGAGGTGTGGCTCGAACTAAGCGAGTGGGAGGTTAAAGTTAACTAGCCATACAGTATGGATAACTAGAGACACAGAGTCTAGCATACAGTGAAAGGTCTTCCCCACTAGGTCCAGACAAAAATCAGGCCGGTCCAGTGCGCCGTTTAGTGCCACAACCTTTGATGTCTGTTCTAGCGAAAGCAACAGGCCCCTTTCGAACAGGCTTCCGCGCACCGCCTTTAACGGAGATGCCCGCCGTGTGAGACAGTAAACGGTCGACACCGAGTCATCGTTCAGCAATTCGAACAGCACGTGTGCACCCACTGAGCCAGTGGCTCCTGTCAACAGCTTTGCGATGTCAGGTTGATGATTCGGTGTCAAAATTGCATGCACTTACCACGCTCCTTGTCCTCCGTGGAGTTTCCGGGCAAGGAAGGTGTTTCCGAAATGAGGAGTATTTCTTGACTAAGTTGTCCATCAGTAAGATACTGTCTTCGGCCGTCGATAGCCTATCTCCGCCCTGCAGCGCGCAGATATAGAGGGCTAGCTGCGAGAGAGTGCCCATTTCAAACACCGAGTTGGGACTCGGAGAGTGGCAGGGGTCAAACCGGAACTGCTGCAGAATCAAGCGGCGGAGGTGCATTGCTTTCAGGCTGTCGACACCTTCAGAAAAGAGATCGGCATCCACACTCGAGATGGAAACCCCGAGTTCATCCCAGCACAGCTGAAGAAGGTGAGACTGCGTCTCGGCCAGGCCTAGTTGGAGGCCCCCATTGGGTCGCGCTTCCGTGGTGTACAGGGTCTCGATCAACTCCGCATATTGCTGGTAGACCTGTGCTCGTATCATAGATCCTTTGTCTGTTCGGAAGAACTTTGCAGTGTATGGCAGAATCGCCACCATGTCCCGTGAAATTTGAGCAAAGGCCTCTGCCTGGCAATTAGCCTCTTCAATGGACGGCCAGATAGCATCGAGGTAGTCCTCATCCGGCAGAGGATCAGACTCGGCTTCCTCCGAGCGCAAGACCAGAAGTCCCGGAGTGGCTTTGCCCACTCCCACCACCACCGCTTCGTGGACCAGCGGATGTTGCTTGACATGGCCTTCCATAGAAAGCGGCAAGACTTTTTCGCCATTGACGAGGGTGACGCGGTCATCCAGTCTCGACATGTACTTCCAGCGCCCCGGAGTCGTAGGATGAGGGGCGAATACGTCCTTAGAATGGAAAGATCCGGGTGGATCGTCTGAATTGGACGTGGTCAAAGCCGGATGACCGGCCAGGTAAACGCATTCATAGAGAGGTTCAGTTTCGCTGATGGGTTTCATCCAAATATATGGTCGCACGCTGTCAAAGAACTGCAGGTAGTTCCAACCAGGGTCGTCTTCGGGCCGTGAGATCGAATCTGCCACAAGGCCTGCCTCGGTGCTGGCGCGGATGTCAGCAGATGTCAGCACGGAAGATCAAACGCAAAAGGAAATGAACTTACAGGCCGAATGAACCTCCAAAAGTGACACCTTCCCTAACCAGGCGATCGCCCAATTCATCGGGGCAGGGAGCACCCCCGTACGTGACCAGCGTGCATTTCCGCAGCGCCGCAATGCCACGAGGATCATCCGCCAACAGCTGCAGCATGTACGGGACCGCAGCTATCAGCTCGGGCCGAGCTTGTTCCAAGGCGGTGAGCACGTGCTCCGCTGTCATTGGCAGTGCGGCATTCCACATGTATGCGGTCTTTCTCCTCCACATGGCCTGGAATGCGGTGGACAGCCCGTGCAGATGATACCAGGGAAGAGGATTGAACAATGTGAGTCCAGGGCCTCTCAGAGGGTGTGTCATGAGCGCTCGATGGGTAAGGAACAGCGGTTTGGGAGTGCCAGTGGATCCTGAAGAATGCAGGATCAAGGCGGTCTTGTCGGGGTTACGATCGCGGCAAAGGAAGAAGAACCTGGGCTCAGCTTTGGTGTCCAAAGAGCTTCGAGGTAGGGGACGGCAGCTCACCAGCTTCCGTTGCAATATGCTACCCACCGTCGAGCGGATGCTGGGGGATCCCCCGTAAACAATGGAGTCGCACCCCACCGTCTCTAACAAGGACACACACGCCTCGCCCGACAATCTTGGCGAAAGCATGAGGACAATGTAGCCCAGTCGGCTCAGAGCAAAGAATGTCACGACCATGTCAAGATCTGACAAGGCAAGGAGCGCGATAACCGATTTGTTTCGTCTTGGCTGAGAAGAGCTGTCAGAATGTGTGAGGTCGGACGGCAACGGCAGACCTACCGTCTGAAAGCCAAGGTCCATAAGCATCGTCGCCGCTTGGTTGATCATGGCATTCAAGTCTTGACCACTATAGTAGTCATAGGACGCGGCATGGCTCGCTGATCGGGGATAGGCAAGAATCGGGTGTTGGACAAGATCGGCCGCTCCCAAACGGATCAGGTCATCCAGAACCTGGAGCTGCCCATATTCCTGAACCAGTTGACCTGCGGTATCGAAGAAATTGACCTGAGATGTCTGGCCGCTGCGTTGGATACCCATGGTGAGGGGGAGTTTGCAAGATTTTAGGGGGACGTTAGAGAGCTCGCAGCATCGATCTCGGAGAGAACAAGAGCCCTATATAGGAGCGCGCCAACAGGTTGACTTGAACATAATGGCTTTGATTCTAACAGATAACGTCTAGTGCTTGGGATGATAGAGATGGTCGTTGGTGATTTCAGTGTTGTAAGAGCCGTTGAAATCCAATATCATCTTTCTCGCAAAGATGTTTATCCCAGCATCCAGTTATGGCGCGATGGTTATTCCCTGGCCCTCTTTGTTCATCCACCTTGCTTACGGATTACGTAGTCTCGGGTTAATTACTGGCGGAATCGAGTCACCGCGTGATGTGGCAATGAACACGAAGCGACAAAAGGGAGCAAACACCGGCAAATGTAAAATTGCGTCCTTGTCAAGAAGGCGGAGTGGCGTTTCAGGGATAAGTTGCTAAGATTAAGCAACGGAGAGGTAGCTTGTCTTGCTCATTGATGAGGGTGGTTGAGGGCGTGTTTAGGGTTCTTAATAGCTCATAATTCAACAGTGTGCTCGCTGGTCAGACTATCCCTACTCGAAGGACACTTCCTACACTTCCTAGGATCATCAATATCATTGGCTCGACTGGCCATTTAAGTTACAAGCAACTGGCAAATTAAACGTTGGCATGTATGATATTGAACATTTTCTTGTATCGCCTTGTCATGCCGGACTCTCAAATCCAAGCGGCAAAATGATGGCTCTCTCGGTGTGACTTAGACACTCGGTGCGCGTGAACTCAGTCTGCTGGCCAAGAACTCCGCATCCTGCAGCCAGCGTGACTTAATATGCCGCTTGAGGTGCTGAATCCTGATTTCGTCGTGCGTGTGCTGAGCAACGAGTCGTTCGTTGTAATCATTGAGTTGCTGCGCTCGATTCCTCCTTCGACGGCCCCTTTTTTCCTTGCGCTTGTCTCGGTGGCTTCTAATGATCGGTTTCTCTACTGCATCCCCCGAAGAGGGACGCACTCGGTCTGGCTTCGCTGTCAAAGCTTCCTTCATAGTTTTTGGTTGCTGTTGACTCTAATGGGAAAATCAGCTGCACGCCCAGGGCAAGAAATAAGAAGTGGAAGACCTACCGATCTTGCTTTCGGTTCAGGACCAGCAATTGTTTGAGTGCTCACCGCGTAGGCTGGGTCGATACGATTTCCAAGAACATCGTTGGAAGTATGCAGCTCAACATTTGGCGTGGAGTCTGCCATCATTGTTTGGAGAACACAGAGGCTGAAAAGGTCCTTGTATTTGCGGGTTTAAAATAGTTGAGGGATAAGAAGCAGATGGAAGTAATCACTGGTCAATGGGATAGAGCCCCTTCGCGGCCCTGTGATAGACTTCGCCAGATTGACCAAGCGGTCCGGGCCTTTTTTTGCGTAAACGGGCAATTTTGATGAGTAGGCCGAATGAACGGGGTGGGGATACATCTTTGTGATCCTTGAGCTCGGGAGCTACACCCCCAATAAACAGTATCGGAGGGGTAAATAACCGGATCCTGTTTTGGGAGTCCCAGCTTGACGCTGCTCATGAAAGGGTGTGAGGGAAACATCTACTGCTGATTTGGTTTATTTGGTGGAGAAGAACAACGGACTCGGTCTCTAGAGCGTTTATCTCCCTTGCTATTACTTCAGCCTAAGAGACCTAAACAGCACTTACCCGTTTTGAAATTGTTTATGTTGTGGTTATAGAGTCGTTTTCTGTTTAACCGACGTATATAGTGTTCTTAACATATTAGTCTTATTTATTGTGTGGACAGGTCATTGATCGATTAGGTTTTAAACATTTGGATTGCACCAAACCAATCGACTTCCCAGTGTTTTCATTTAAACGCAGATATAGTTAACTTTTTTGAGGCCATTTATTTATCGTGGGGCAATAGTTAGTCTTTAAGCCTTCGACGAAAATTTTCTTTATAGTCCCTAAATCCCTGTCTTTGTCTCTTAGTTCGAGTGTCTATTAGACACAATCAAGCAATCATCACGGCGTTCATCGGGATCGACGGCGGACTCTAGTAATAGACAGTCGTAATAATAATAAATGACCATAGGACACGCATATCTAATAGATATAAACGTAATGCCCGCTTTTTTTCTTCGCTAATTTCTAGTCATTTACTCTCCGGCCATTCCCTCGCCAGGAGGTACGGTCAGCAAGAGTATAGTCTATCATTTCGGACCAAACCAATCAACGTTCTATATAGTGTAATATAATCGGCCTCGTCGCTGCCAATTCAACACTATATAAATGGCCGTCACTCGCTCTTAATAGGCAACATTTGCGCGGGATTGACGATATGCAAATCTGTGATGATTGAAGTCATTTAAATCATGATAACGTTATACAGTAAGGAGAAGCTGTCCTGACACATATATCCTAACACATATATCCTGACACATAATGTACACTACGTATTCTTGAAAGCAGACAATTAGACGTGCAAAAGTCATCTAGAAAATGGTGTCACCCACCGGGACTCTACATTTTTAGCCGAAAGGAGGAAAATGGATTATCTTAGGAAGAAGACGTTAACTAACTAGACGGGTTTCAAAAGAGCAAGCATAGAAGTGAATAGACTCGGACAGATCTTAGCTTCCTCAAACGATTGCGCGTTTAGGTAATGATCTCCAGCACCACAAAGAGGTGTCTGTCCTATCGCTGGAGGCAACGGTAACATCTTAATCAATGGTAGCAGCAAAGAGCGCTCTGACATTGAATCAATGGTAGCAGCAGGTGGCAGGGCGCTCTAACATTGAATCAATGGTAGCAGCAAAGAGCGCTCTGACATTGGATCAATGGTAGCAGCAAAGGGCGCTCTGACATTGGAACAATGGTAGCAGCAAAGAGCGCTCTGACATTGGAACAATGGTAGCAGCAGGTGGCACGGCGCTCTGACATTGAATCAATGGTAGCAGCAGGTGGCACGGCGCTCTGACATTGAATCAATGGTAGCAGCAAAGGGCGCTCTGACATTGAATCAATGGTAGCAGCAGGTGGCACGGCGCTTTGAAACTAGGCGGGCTCGGGCTTTTATAGTTTCAGGTACGGAGATCAAGAAAGGCCACGTACGCAACTCAAGAACTCCAGCCACTCAGTCCCTGCTGGCAAATCGGACCTCACCGCCTCACAAATCCGACAAGAAAAACTTACTTATGCAGCCCCCTCACCGGTAACTAACGTCAAATAGCGCTAAGATCCTGGCTCAAAATAACCGATATATTTGTTAATGCTTTTTTGCGGTACCACTCTCGTTCCATATCTCTTTTGTGTGGAGGCTTAATTACTTAGTGAATTGATCCCTTTCTAATGGCAAGTCAAATCAAGACCGCCAAAGCTATCAAGAACGTAAGCAATTGAAACTCTCGAATACCTAGCGTCAATCAGAATGATCGGGGACTAGGGAATTTCTCCACCAGAGATAGTCTAAACGCTACATATAATGGTTATAAGTGCCGAGCATTCAGTTATCTGTCGTCGTAATCATGGCACGCAACTTATTTTTTTCTTTTATATATATATATATATATATATATGTATTTATTTGACCATCGAGTCCACTATGCAAATATAGTAGTTCAGGAAAGCAGCGCCTCGTGCTATCGTTAATAATAAGGGTTAGGGTAAGGCAAAAGCCTATCGGGAGAAGAATAACTAGCTCTTCGGCTTAGGACATTTGCCCTTATTCGTTTCCTCGTGCACATGCTTCGTTTTAACTACAGTGTAAACTTCTTCCTAATTTCATCTATGCTTCCTTTATTGGCTTTCTACCCCTTCCTTTTTTTTTTTTTTTTTTTTCCCCTTTTTGCGGCTCATAGGCCGTCGGCTGCTTACTAGGGATAGAATTATTTCGTGAAATCTTCGTCTTTCACTAATTGTAAACAGTCTATCTACAATTTATCTTTATTTTGGATGGAGGCCTGTGTAAGAACCAGATTTGGCAAAAGAAACGTCCAAGAATAAGTGGGCGAGCTTTACAGAAATTGTAGTTGTAGTAGATATATATACCTCGTTGGACGTTCCAATTTCACCCTTCCGAAACCTTCCATCCATCATATCAGCAAGGCCAATACAAAGTCCGTATCTGTGATGCAATATATTTTATGGCACATCTCTAGTTTATCCATTCATTTATTATAATTGAATAAGGCGACAGTAAACAACAGGTTGAATTCACGTGAAGGTTGAACCCCCTAATTAGGCAGATTACATAAGCCGAAGCCCCGTCACTAAGTTAGTTAACTTGAGTCTACAGGTGGTGTCGCCGCTTACTCAGCCAAGCATCGCCGCTCAAAAGAGGCTAAGCCTGTTCAGGTATCTCCCCCACAATAAATTACAGTATCCTGGAAACCGAGCTTACCATCCACCACTTCCGACTTTATTTTTCCACGCATTCACATTTCCACCCACGAAGCACTCGATAAGTGCTTCCCATCATGGCTCCTCCGACTTTCCTGGTTGATGAGCCAGCTTACAAGCTGTATCTCGAAAAAGGAGCTGCTGGAAGTCTTGTTTACCCTGCTTATGACCTGGTAAGATGACATTTATGCGCTTGACAAGCATTCACTAAGCGCTTGAGTCACAATATAGGATGACAATGGCGATATCATCGTCATACCTGGCGAGGCATTCTGCCGGGTTGACGATTGTATTGTGGCTAAGGTATGGAACGCGTTGAGTGCCCACTAAGCGCTTACTGATTGCTTTTGCTTTAGTCCTCGAGGGACACGCGTAACCTCCGCGCTCATATTACCAAGGCCCACGGGCTATCGGTCTCAAAGAGCCAAACAGGCAATATCTCACTACCTAATCGCCAGGCTTCCCGAGGTAAGCGCTATCTTACACTGAGGAAGCGCTTAACTAACACTACTAGACTGGTTCCGTACCCTGATGAGAAACGATGAGTCCGAGGAAGAAGAGGAAGAGCAACAGCAGGAAGAAGAAGAGGAGGAGGAGGAGGCAAAGCCGCCGATTCCGTTGACTGCAACTCGCAGGGTAAGTGCTTACTATGCGTTTATTTTGCGTTATTTGAGCGCTTGATTCACTATTTCTAGGTCTCTAAGGTCAAAACCCGTCTAGCGCTTATCCAAGCTGGCCATGCTACTCTACATGATTTTCCTTGCCCTGGATGCCAGGACTCTAGCTCTGCTAACAGTAAGTGCTTTTTTTACGTTTGCTAAGCAGTTAGACTAACAGATTAATAGACTGCCCTGCTAACCCTCATATCTGTGACTTTCACCAACACTTTAATGTCAGTGATTGTATTAGCTATCAGTAAACTGCGTCAAACTTTAACGAGCAAGCCTCTTTTTAGCCTGTTCCTCCTCTAGTTCTGCTAGCTCTATCTCTCGTTTTTTCGTTTTGATCTGCTGTTCAAGTAATTGTGCCTTAAGAACTTCGAGATCAATCTGTGCCTGTAGATTTGTAGCTGCTGAGTGATCCTCTATCGTTTGGGCATTAGACGTTGCGCGTTGCTGTAGGCTGCTTGACCTAGATAATATGAGTAAAGTACTTATTAAGCGTTGAAAAAGCGCTTCTTATACGCTTGGTAAGCGCACCTCCGGGATCCCCCTCGTGATCTTGATACTCTGATAGGAATTGGCACACCAGATGTAGAAGAACGACCACTAAATCGAAGAGCTTGCTCTTCATCTGAATCATAGGTTATAGTGGACTCTGACCGTCTTTGCTGGTTTTGAAGCGCTATTTGTTTTATTAGTCATAGCCGTGTAGAGATGTATATATATATATCTAATCACATACATCGGTCAATAAAGCGGTCGTACTCCGCTGAAATACCACCTGCTCGGTAAGTAGGCCGGATTCCTGAGAGCTTCCAGGCATTATATTGCTGTATATCAAGTTCATCGATCTGCCGACCACTGTTAAGCATTTAGTAAGCGCTTAGTAAACGCACAATAAGTACTTTACTGTTAAACTCACTTGATCAATGCTTGAAGTAGAGTCAATCTACGCCCACGAGCATTTCCCTTATGGTGCGTTTGCTCAACAGCATTTGTGTTCTTGCGTAAATAGCGAAAGATGGCTATTGGGATAGGTGAGCAGCTTTGGCAGAGGCCTTGGGCTATCCAGTTTTGCTTCTTATGCTTTGCCCACTCGCGGATAAAGCTATAAGAAGAAAAGCCTAAAATATAAGCGCTTAGCAAGCACATAATAAGCACTCGTTTATAAAGACTCACGCTCAATTATCCAATCAAGAGCTTCATAGTATCCTTCAGAAGTTGATACTTCTAGAATTGATCTCATAATACTAGCTGCGCCAGTAGGAATAGACATCTCCTTTTTCAAACAATCATTGATACCTCGGTCGAAATGGATCTGACAAAACACAATTTGATTGGCCGATAATACACGAGGATCTCTATGTAAGGGATCGATCTCATGAAGGTAATCACCAAGCCCTAAAGTGATTGTAAGCGCTTCTTAAGCATTCCTTAAGCGTATAGAAATAGGCCGTACCTCCATATTGCTTTGTGTCCATGTCCATCACGATAGCCTCTATTCCAGTCCCATCAAGGCATCGAAAAGAGCATTCTAACCTAAGAAGTCGGTTCACGCACTCGAATACTCTCTTAAATAACAGATAGTAGCCACGTCGAGTGTCTTCTGTTGTGTATACCCGGCAAAGTGTCAAAACTAATAATATGTAAGCGCTTATGAAGTGTTTGATTAGCATATAGCTTACTTCGTTGACGATCCTTGATCTTCCTTGCAAAGACTACCTCTCTTAAGTCCGCGCGACAAAGCCGCTTAGCTGCCATATCTACTTCAAATGGCTCACCATTGACTAGTAAAGAAGCTTGCTCAATTGTGAGACAAATGACCATCTGGCCCTCATCGGTGAAAACCCCTTGAACATAATCCTAGAACAGGTGCTTAGCAAGCGCTCATGAAGCGCATGGCTATATCCACTTACCTGCACTTTTTGATTCGTCTCCATCTCAAATATCACACCATTCAAGTCTTGTCCCGCTGGAAATGATAACAGTCGTTGCTTTTGAATTATAGCTGTTATCCTATCAATAGTGCTAAAGCTTTGATGGATCTCAGGCAACGAAAAGGTATTATACTTCTGACAAAACGTCAGAAGTGCTGGACTAAGTAAGAACTTGCCTTACTCTATTAGCCGAGCGCTAAGCAAGCACTAAAGAAGCGTTTCGTAAGTACTTACTAGTAGTAAGACCTGGGTCTCGTATTGACTTAATAAGCTCGTAGACCCCTTGGAGGATCTGTCTTGGTGCTTTTCCTGGTGGTGGTGGGGGGTGTGTGTGCTCGCCAATTGATAGAAAAAGATAGTATGGGCATTGCTCAAGGTTTCTTGGCCTAAGCCAATGAAAACGAACATTGCATTTCTTATGTGTAAGCCTACCACAACCTTGTGGGTGTTGAGCTTCTATTAAGCGCTTAGCAATCACTCAATAAATACTAAATGAATACCTACCGCAAAACTGGAGCCTTGTAGCTCGGCGCTCAACCGTGCCACAATGAGTCTGTCGAAGATTTGCTCTATTTTGGAAGAGGTCTTGGAGAAATAGAATATCTATCTCACCTAACCTAGAAAGTGCCGGTGAGGAGTAATGCCCTAAAGCATTAGGCTCTCTATGGATACATTGAATATATGTCTTTGGCAAGCCTAGCGGCGTCTAATAGCTATTAGTACTAGTAGTATTTAGCCTCTATAGTACTGACCTGAAATTCACTAGTCTTTACCATTGGCTTACAAGTATCAAGCCTTGGAAGACAGGTGGTTCGCTGATTGCTTGGCTCAAAAAGCCGTTGATGAGCTTGGTATTCCCTAGTTTGATAAGCGCTTACTGAATGCTTATTGGTTGCTAGCTAAGCATATTACTTACCCGATCGCACGTCTCTGGGGATCCTCTGTAGGTATAAAGGGAACTTTATTTCGAAAAGCTCGAATTTGTTCCCAGATGTCTTCGTTCACCCAGCTATGACACATATGCTGTAAATCAGGATGAATCCACTCACAGACCTTCACCCCTGTGCAAGTGCTTGTGCTATGGAAATATCCCATATCACCGAAGATAGACTGAGAAATTGAAGGGCGTTTCGTATGATTTCGTTGCATCCCATATTGCACCTTTGATCGTTAATAAGCGCTCTTCTAGCGTTAAGCAAGCACATAGTAAGCGCTTAAGTATCTACTCACACTTTCAATTGCCTCCTCTATTTTTGTATCTATTCCTTGCGATAAAGACACAACATAAGCAAAGCCCTTTGTGTGCGTTTGAGGATACTCCGGTAGGTCTTGCGTATATTCAAGATACTGTGTGTATAAAGAAGTCGTCGCTGTACTTGTCAGGCGAATTTGGGGTGTCTAAACTGAATTAGTATTATAACTGTCAAACGCTTGTCAAGTACTCACATCGCTCTCCGTATCTGCTGACATTTTATCTTCCCTAATAATAAGAGTGTATTGTGGGTTAAGACGTGGGTGTAAGGCAGGTGAGTGCGTATAGCCCTAACCCTTTTGTAATACAGTGGTTTTAGCGCGTTTTTTCTAGCTAATGTCGCCGCTTACATAATACAAGGGTCGCCGCCCAAATCCAAATTAGGTATAGCGAGCGGCGATGAACGATTATGTAAGCGGCGGCGCGAGCTGTACCCTCAGTTAACTTAACTTAGTTAACCAGTTACGTGGGCAATCATTCTGTTCACTGGCGGGCCGGCATTGACCCGGCCTTGCTCGTAGGCCACATCGCTGTCCGTGGCTACATTCAGGCGCGGACGTCCAAGTCTGGTACATGTACTCTGGTTACTCGAGGAACCGTAATGTCATCATGCAGAGCATTCCCGGAGCTTCCAAAAGCCATAGTTACACGTGAAGTTCAATTCGAATTCCAACTTGTTTCTTTATCTAGATAGTGGATGAATTATTGCAATGGTGCGGTGTTATTCCTAGTCTGCACCAGCCTCCTATCACGATCAATATTCCTTCATCACGCCTACATCGGTCTTCATACACCGTAGGCGCTCGAGGTAACATAAGCATTACGTAAAATATCGACTAACCTAACAATAGAAGACGCCTCGGCATAAAGGTCATGCCAAAACTTCCGCATATCCTCCATCTCACGTCGACGAGACTGCTCCCGCTGCCTTAGCTGTTCGCGTAGCTACCGAATTTCGATCTTGTCTTGGCCGTGTTGAACCCTTAGTCGCTCGTTTTGCGCCCGAAGCTTTTCATCCCCGCGGTTCGTGCTTCCCCGTCCTCTTTTTCTCTTGCATTAGGCTCGGCGGGGCTTATTAGCTGGCACCTACAGAGAATAGTCGGACGAGGCTCTTGTTTCTTCTAGGCTTTGCGTTCTTAGGAGTCCCAATAACCTAAACGTCGATTGTGTCCAATCCTAATCAAGAGAGCGTTAAGCGTGCGATCATACCAATGCGATAGAAACTAAAGTGACTTACGCGCACTAAGTTTTATTATGCACTAGCAGCCAACTACGAGGGCGCCATATACCTAGGGCCCATAGAGTTCTTGATGCCAATATAGGAAGCCCGTGGCTGGTAATAGGGTGTGGGACGGGCTATTGGTGGTACGTTTGCGCTTTAGCTCACTAAGACGCACTAAAATTTAGAATCTTAGTCCCGGCAAGGCGAGCGATTGTCGGGAGATAGGGATAGAAACACGTTAAGAACAGTAATTAGGGACCATCCGGGAAACTCGGGGCTATTGACACGGCCGTAGGGATCAAGCCGCTACGTCTAAGCGCAATAACCGGTACTAAGATAAACACATCGCACTAAATTAATTGCGCCGTGGAAATTAGAGATTCAATAGCACGATATTTAGACCCACCCCAGCCGTTTGCAGACCGGAGATAGAGCTCCAGTATCTTACTCGCATGTCGTTTAACGGCCGATAAATCTCCGAGCTATGAAGACAGCCATGGACGAACGGGAGATAGACTAGCCACCAGTACCTCCATCGAGTTACGGCTAGCGCTAAAGCGAGACTGTGAGCATAGAGCATCTGTGACCGTGGACACCACAGAACTCTGGGAAATAAGCCTAAACATCTCTAAACATCTGGTTTTCTCCTTTCATCGTCCTATGGTTTCCTCTTCTGGTCATCCTTAGCGACAAAGCCCCCGTGACAGAGACTAAAGCCACGGAATCCGTCCCGATTCAATATCGCAGTCAAATCCACTACGTGAGGTAGGCTAGACGGAACAAGCCGTCTGGGATCTAGTTTCTGGCCCTATCGTTACATTAGGTTCGTTCACTTAGCTCGCGACGAGCACGGAAATAGCGTATGAAAGTGGCTATAGTAGCATCTATCGTCCGTTGTTCTCTATCCGCTAGATCGCAATGCTCGGATATTGACCGAAATGCTATTGATCCTCCGGGCCCACGCCGGCTCATAGTGTGTCGAGGCTGGAATCCGAACTATAATTACTTCATTCACTTATAGCTTTAGGCCAAATAGACGGTCTCCTATAAGTCTATTGCGTACGCCACAGAATAACCAACTCCTTAGGGAAGTAACGTCTATTTATCCCATCCTAAATTGACTATTAGCGAATATTTAAGCATCTAGCCAGTGTGTATATTGTAGAATCGGCGGCTTGACAAGTTCAATTCTCTTCTATCATAACCATGATTGTGGAGACAGTACCCCCCATGTTTTACATAGGGCGGCTAAACTAGGACTATGTTCTATTGTTTCTATGTTTTCCCACGGGTTAGTGAATTGACACTATCCGGTCATTACTGAAACTAAGGTGCTAAGGATATGGTACGGGTGAAACCGTAATTCGTATAAACCACTTTGGTTATTTTCACACTGCCACTAGATTTAAGTCTTCTTTTACCCGCCTCGACTGATATAGCCCCAACTTTTTTTCTTTCTCTTTTGTGTGGTCTAGGTCTTTCATTTCTTTTACGACGTCCGTTAAGTCATCGCTCACTATGCCTAGAATGCTAACTACCTCGCGCAATCCCGCGCAAGCTCCTACCAGGGTTCGAAAACCACAGGCCGAAACGTCTACCAAACGCGCTATACGAAACTTGCCGGCGACTAGCGCTATGCGATCCAAACCCGTCCCACGGGAGGTCTAGTTCCGAGAGACCTTAGTAAGCCAGTGAAATTCTCCGTCCTGATTTAGTGGTTAACTCACTTATCCGTTCAATATAAAGAAGGCACATACCACCTACCCGGACGATCATGTTGATTGCATCAAGTTACTTAAAGCAGCCGAAGATAACCACCAGCAGCGCGCCGTCCGCCTAGAGGAAAGCCATCAGCGAGTTATCGCCGAAAAAGCCTAGTTGTCCGCGAAAGTCCACTAGCTTACGTCGGAGTGTCGCTAATTAAAGGGTGAAAACCGTACATTAAAAGATAGCTTAGAAACAGCGACCACCTAGGACCAAATGTCTCGGGGTGAACACAAGGAGTCCTTAAAGGACCTCTAGAACTCCGCTTCGTCGTTGTTCAACCAGATCACGTCTAAGATCAATAAGAGTGACTAGGCATACTTTTCCACTCTTCTGCCTAACCCTGATATAGCCCAAAACTGGCAAGACCAAGACGCAAGCTATCTACTCAACCCTTCAGATATACCGGCAGCACCTATGCCGGGCTACCCTTCGTCCACCTTGCCCACTATATCCCAAGTCGATCTATACGCGCATCTGCCTTAAGTAGCAGATTGGCCACTGAAGGATAGGCGGAGTGAGGCGCACAACCTATAGCGTTACTATCCCATAGTTAGCCAACATTAGTATCCGAGTACAATTTCTATGTATACATATAGATCGTCTCTTCAACGAACCTATCCCACCTTAGCGCTACGATCAAATCTCTTAGCAGTGGATACTCAAGATCCACTAGGCTGATTCCAAATCACTACCGAGACCGCCGAATAGCGCCTCGCTAAGCACTAGCCGTAAAGGACCAATACTAGGCTAACGGGGAACCGAACTCTACTTCCGGGATAACCGTTAAACCCGTCGCGTGTGTGTGGCTAGATAATAACCACCGTACAGCCGAATCTAACCAAGCACTAAGTCAGTATCACTTTGCTCGGGTCTCGGTGATTATCTCTTACCTCACTAGCCTAGTGAAACGCCTAGCCCCATATTTTATCGGGGCTAGAGATACCCGAGGCCCCGCTATTTTTAGGGGTCAGGACGAAAATACGGATACTAGGCGTTTAGTATCTTCGTCGCACATTTTCGAGGTAGTGATAGAGAGGCCGTGTGACTACCACGGAATATAGAGCCTAGACTCTTACCTAAACCCTTACCTATTGTATCGATAGCTTCAGTTATATGATCAGAGTTTCGAGTGGCCATCAACGAGGTAGATAGGAAATAAAGATCTAAGCTCCACTGATGTCCAGTGTCAAAAAGCCCGAGCTTAGTCGATCCCACCGTTATGCTACCATCCGCGTCTCGTCCTACGTCCCGTGCATACACGCGACGCGGCAATTTTTCTCCCCACAGGCTCGCCTAGAATCTGAATTGGCAGTCAGCAAACTCATTAATCTCCGTCAACGAATGAACATAGCACGCGGGTCGCAAATCGCTAATAGAAAGCTAACGCGGAAGCAAATATAATATCTATGAGCATAATAATTTCGGCCGTACGTCGATATTCTTTGCTGCCCGCATCTAAACGGCAGTATTCGGAGATCTTAAACGACTTCGGCTAGATACGTTAGACTCTCTTTCTATGGGTTTAGAGAACGGTCTAGGCCGCGCGGATATAGGTTCGCCTCGGCTAGAGCCGACGAGCCCCTTTAGCCCTTTTATATCGTGTGACTCAGCTTAGCTAGTATACACATCTTTCCTGTTATAGTCAACAACTTAGAGCTAGTAACGAGGAAACGCCCCGATTTTCAGGGGTTAAGGTTGAAGAGTAGGCATTCATTGTATATTCGTGAAGTAGTAAGGAAGTAGGGAAACAACACAAGGGCGATCGGAGCTCGTGCCTGGTCGATCTCTCCGTTATGCCGACCAGCCGGCGCCTACCGCGTCTTATACTATATATAGAGAACGAAACTAAGTACTCGCCCGTACCTAGATTTTCCCCTATAGATAGCTTCATTTAGGCGAGTATTTTCGTTCGAGTTAGTCCCCTCTGCATCTCCGGCGGTAGGAGTAACCAAGAATAGTATAGGTTCCGCAACATAGGCGCCGATCATCGCTTTAGAAGCGAGATCGGTTGATGCCTTACGCAAAAAGGAAACACGCTGCTATTAGCTAACTAATATTAAGTTATATTAACCCCACATACTAGACTAGGGTTAGCGCGGATTCTCTCATTTAATTCTCTCATTTGATGGAGCTTATGTGGAGAATGATTTAACATTATCCACATTACTATTTTCTGTAAAGCGATATCAGTCATAACCTAGAACAGGAGTGCTTAGTATAAGGATCGAC